TCGCTATCAGGAAGCACAATTAGAACAAATCCTCGATAGTTATTAGGTTTTGAATACCGCCGGATGATAAAGGCTGTCGAATGGAGACATACCGATGTGTAGGCATTGAGGTGTCCACCCATATTCTCAATTTCCAACTCCAATTGGTGCTGGGTTCGTCGGTTGGTGCCCTAGACATTGTAAGCATTACATCGTCACACATAAGAACTTGGACGCCAACGCACCTTGAAGGCGAGATGTTCCAGGAAGTGAGCGGTTCCGTTGGTCTGGTCAGTCTCAGCCCTGCTTCCAGCATCGATCCATACACCAACGGTCGAGGTCTGAGCCCATGGAGAGTATTCAGTAGCAATCTAAAACGGTGGTCAGCACGTCTCTCCCAATCTCAGCCATCTCAACCATCGTCCCCAACTCGACCCGGACTCACCGTCAAGCCATTGGACAGTGTAGTTGACTGTGTCGAGCCAGCGACTGGAGACGCAAAACCTCGCCTGCTGCGCTGGACGGCCTGCAGCGCGCTGCGAGAGCGCACCGCCTGGTGGAAGTTGAGAGCGAGTCTCCGGGATGCCATGGCGGAGGATGTGAGAGGGGGTCTGGTGGTGAAAAGGTGAATTGAGGGCAGCGTTCGACTGTCTCTTCGTCGTGCCTTTTCGTTGAAGTCGTGAAAAGCGAAAGTTGTGAAGTTCAAACTTGCTGTTTCCGATCGTCACGTGATACCGGATGAGAAGCGCATTTCTGCGTCCTCTGATTGGCCAGCTACGACGACGTACAAACCTACGCCAGCTCTCTTCCGTGCTAAACGATATTCGAACGTACATCTTACTAGATAGAGAGACAATGACAAAAGAAGTGCATGGATGGACGGCGAGTGGGTGAGTAGGGCGTTTTCCGTAAGGTGGACAGCATACTAACGAGGGCAATGCAGGTAACTCATAGTTATGTGAGCCCGCCTTTTCCCATGGCAGGGGACTTTCTTCCGTGCCGGCCGTCGTGGCCACTGGGATATGAGATTCGGCCACTATGAGATACTCTATATTCCAGAACACTCATAACGCTGAATGCAGCCTCGTCTCAGTATAAATATTGGCCTGAGATGTCACGATGTTATCACTTGCCCATCCAGACTTTCCCGTACCCTTTGAGCCTATTTTTTTTAAGTGGAGAAAACACCAGTTGTTGCCCCGGAACGCTGGATCCCTTCCTCAGGCCATGGCATGTCATATAATGGTCATGCCCTCAATTCACTGAATTGGGGCATACATAAAAGAGGGCAGCATTCTCTCAGTAACCACGCTTCTTGCTTTGTGCTTCTCGGCCTTTGTGTATATACTGCGCCCTAGACTCAGACAGGGGTACCGTCTGGATCCTTTCGCCCCTCAAATCTTGCAGAATTTTCTCCAGCGCTGGTTTGGTAACGCGTCTGAAGACATCAGACGATATCATAACGCTCTGTTCATTCAAGAATGGCGACCACAGACGAAGGCCGGATCATCACGGCTGAAGAGATTACCGAGCAAGCGCCGCTACTGAGAAGAGAGGGTGACGAAGGCGTGAGAAACTCGCATCCGCGTCTCTCTAGAGCACGCTCCACGATTATCATACTGGGGCTGACCGGTGTCACTTTCCTAAGCTGCGTGTCTAACGGTCTTCTGGTCGTTGGATTGCCCGCAATCGCCTATGATCTAGAGCTCCCTGACCACCTTTTGTTCTGGTTTGACTCCCGTAATCTTGATGATAATAGCCCGAGCAGAGTATATGCTTGCTAACACTCGTGTACGATCCAGGCCAACATCCGTTTATTCGTAAGCAGGGTGCTCTTTCTTTCGTGGTACTAAGTAATCAAATATGGCATCTCTAATAGTTAATTGCTCATGCATATAGACTAGCCAGCGGATGTGTTCTCCTACTCGCTGGGTCGTTAGCCGACCTCATTGGTGATCGGTCGATCAATATCTTGGGTACAATAACCACAGCCATCGCGATTCTTGGTACGGGCTTATCTCGTACTGGAATGGAGATGATTATATACCGCCTTGTTCAGGGCATCGGCGTCTCAATGTGCCTACCAACCGGTGTCAGCATCATTACGAGGTCGTTCCCTCCCGGACCCCAGCGCAACATCGGATTCGCTAGCCTGGGTTTATCCCAACCACTTGGCTTTTCTGTCGGCATGGTTGCCGAGGGGCTCTTCTCAGAGGCCCCTGGAGGTTGGAGACTAGGATTCTATGGCAGTGCCAGTGTCGCACTGGTCCTCACCATATCGAACCTACTTGTCCTGCCCTCTGACAACAATAGAGCTGCCTTTAAATGGGGCGACCTCTTAAGCAAGGTCGATTGGGTCGGAATACTGATTGCTAGCTCTTGTATGGGCATTATCTCCTACATATGCGCGTGAGTATATACGCCCGCCTTATTCGAGAGTTAACAGCCAGGCTTACCATATTGTCCTACAGCATTCTGACAGATGACGTTGCCAATATCCAAAATGCCACTCACATAGTGCTGATCGTATTTGCGTTGGCCCTGATACCAGCGTTTGGCTTCTGGATGCACTGGCAAGGAAAGCGAGATGCACCAGCATTGATACCCAACTCTATGTGGAAGAACACCGTCTTTGTTTCCATCAGCTTGATTGTGTTCTTCACGTGGGCTGTCATATTAAGCTCTGAGCTCGTACTCAGTTTATTGTAAGTTCGCTCCTTTCCTCTTTGTTGTTAATAGCCCCTACTAACTTGTCGATAATAGCTTCCAAAAAGTTCAGCTGCTATCTCCATTTGATACTTCTATCCGTCTCCTGCCCAATGTTATTATTGGTATCATACTCAACCTTAGTACCGGACTTTTTGTCCATTTAGTCAGGGTCAACTACCTGGTTATTGTGGTGTCTCTTGTCGCAGCAATCGCCCCGCTGTTGATGGCCATCATCGACCCAAGCTGGAACTACTGGATCTGTGCATTCTGGGGAGTGCTCTTGGGGCCAGTGGCTATAGATGGTACGCACGGCTTTGTTTCCACTTTTCCCCGTCGCGTTTACACAACATTAGCGCCACTTAGTTACTGACACATGACTTTCCACCATCTAGTTGTATTCACTATTGCCCACTTGATGATCACAGACATCTTCCCGAGCTCTACCCAAGCTCTTGCTGGCGCTGTATTCAACACCATCGCCCAGCTCGGCAGCTCTGTTGGCCTATCTGCCATCGCAGTCATCTCAGCTGCGGTTGAAAAATCCTCCCCTTTTCCAGACCAATCACCTAAGGCCATCATGGCTGGATACAGAGCAGCCTTCTGGGCTTGCTTTGGTACCATGTTGATTGTTGCTTTCATTGGGTTTGTCGGACTCCGGAATGTGAGGAAACTTGGTGTAGGAGATGACCATGTGCGATCTTAGATCAAGCTCGCGACTAAATGATGCCCCGGTCCCAGTCCTATTTCCATCAAGATCGCACTAAAAATTCCTCTCAATTTGGCCCATCGCACGTACCGGTTCTAAGAGACCGAAGACCTCCCAAAGCGCCTTTTGATATTCCTTTTTTTCTCTTTTCCCTGCATGAGGTTGTTTCTCGATGTACGTAAACAAAAACTAGACTTGATACTAGTAACATATCAGAAATAGCCTATTCTCTTATATTTATAGCTCTCACCAGAGCCACCGATCCCTTTTGGGGAAAGTAATTTATCATAAGCAGGGAGGGTTGGCAAAGCAATGAGAAAACGGAGGGGGGCTTTGGGTTTAATATTGTCTCCTCCAGCTACTAGGATAGGTCCCCTGCGGTCAGGAAGGGGCTGGCAGATGCTGTACAGTAAGTACGTAGATAGTTCGCGAAATTGCTCTAGCCGGTCCCTGATCGGGTACTCCGTAGTTAGCTGCTTACTATCAGAGGTGCGAGTAGTCCGTAGCGGGCGCCACACGAGTTAACCAACTAACTAGCCAATGAAATGGAAGGCGCTTACTAAGTGTCACTTGAACTACTCCGTACGGTAGGTTTAAAACGCACAAACCAAGCCAAGCTCCTCCATGTATTTTTCTTTCTTTCTTTCTTTTTCTTCCTGGACTCCACCATTGTGTCAAAACACGATCCCTGATTCGAGCCTGCGCGAGTTTTGATCTCCGTATTCCAGCCAGTAACCATCCTTGCTACTTCTACCGCAGCTACTCCGTACAAGAGTACACTTCCCTGGACTTTGAAAATGGATCCAAAATTGACGAACGATGAAAAGTCTCGCGCGAAGGACCTGAGAGCTGCAATCCGAAGAGCCCGTCAAGGGAGCAGCGAGGAGGTGTATGGGTCAGAAGACTACTGGAAGTATAGCAAGGAAGAGCTTGACGGCGAAGACCAGATAAGTGATTTGAGATTCCGTGCGCTGCAGAGAAACTGTGATCTATCGGATCCATGTTTTGAACAGGCTGCGCAAGAATACAAGTCGCAACAAGAGCGCCGGAGTGCCAAACGACTTTCTATACTGGAGAAGGAAAAACTATTCGATAAGAGGAACAAGATTCTCCAACAGTCATCGTCAACTACTACTAATCTCACATCCACGCGTGCTGCTTATGTGGATCTGCTTCTGACGATCCAGAGCAAAACAAGCCGCCAGAAGCAAAGTGACTTTTCAAAAGACGTCCTGAGAGCGTATGGTGGAACTACGAAAGTCAACAACACCACCTACTGTTTCAGTGTCCTGGATGGCACTCGTCGGGTCAAAGAGGATTTTGTCGCAGCACACATCTTTCCGCTCTCACTTGGACCTAAGGCGATGGAATATATCTTCGGCAGAGATGCAAGATACGAAATAAACTCACCACGAAATGCTTTACTTCTCCCGAAGAAGATCGAAAAACACTTCGATGCCCACCAGATCGTCATTGTTCCGGCTAAATCAGACAACCCGGACGTCCGAGAGTGGCAATTCCTCATTATCGATAAGTCGGGGCTCTGGAACGAGTCCTTGTCTGCATTTGGGCCCATGAAATTCTCTGACCTGCATGAGCGAAAATTGATCTTTCCCAATGACTTTCGTCCACTAGCGCGATACTTATACTTCCATTACCTTATATCGATGATTATACACTTCAGAACTGCGAAGAAGACTGGTATAGTTCGCAGTGAGCTTCCAGACGCTGAATGGCCGGAGCTCACGAGAGCATGGGCTACGCACGGGGAATATCTGAGGGACAACATGATTTACGGCTTTATGGAGGAGTTGGGACATGATTTGCCGGAAGATCTCAAGCAAAATGCGTTAGCACACTGTGCACCTATTCGTTCGAACAGTGAAGCAGAGGAGCTTGACGAAGTCATCGATTCGTTAGGGATGATTCAAATAGGCAATGACGATGACGATGATGATGAGGATGACGATGATGATAATGAAGATGGGAATGAAGATGATGAGGAAGGGGAGGCGGCTGGTATGTCGGAAAATTGATGTGGATGTTTGGAAGTTGCTGCCTGGAAGTCCAGGGATCCTCACATAGCCCTCCGCCCTTGCAATCCCTAATATATTTTTAGCTAGATATAAATATATATACTGACCTCATTTCTAAGCAATATATTTGCCGGAGCTATTACTATTAGTTAATGGTGTTATATTAATATCGGAAAGAATACACGAGTGGTGTAGAGCATGTCTTATATATAACGAAGGTTTTATTAGATAGCCCTGCTACCTTAGCTAGAATCCCTAGCTACTGTATTCCCATAAAAATGTAAAGGTATTCTGCTAATTTCGCGCGCATTCACGGAGCTGCATTTTGATAAAGCGGCCATATTCTCATACTAGAGTTGGGGAGGAATCCAAATATTTATTTGACTCTATGAGGTAGTTCGCGCAACATCACTGTGAAATCACAATCACAGAATCCAATACCATGGTTGAGATACCAATACAGTGACCAATCTTTATTCTGCCCTCAAACACCGGAACAATCTCTCCGCCCGTCTGCATTTGACCCATTCGAGGCATATATTCACCATTGCTCCCCCAATCATCTCGTCACTCAATCAAAAAATATCCCTTTGCACGAAACATGGCGGCGTCGACGGAGACATTGATCGGACTGGCCAAATCAAGAAGATCCGTGTATGCTATCAGCAACACCAGCACCGTGCCAGACTCTCAGCTCGAGCAGCTTGTCCACGATGCAATCAAGCATGTACCTAGCTCCTTCAATACTCAGACTACTCGTATCGTCCTGCTTCTCCATGACGAGAATCAACGGTTCTGGGATACCGTTGAAGGCGTGTACATGTCGATGGTGGCCAGCGGTAAATTCCCCGAAGACAAATGGAAGGCTGGCACAAAGCCAAAGTTGGATAAAGTGAGAGCGGGTTACGGGACTGTAAGTTGACCTGATATTCGGGCTCTGAGATGTGTAGTTATCTGATGAGGATAGATTCTCTTCTACGAAGACCCAACGGTGATCCCGGGGATGTGTGCGAAGTTTCCACAGTACAAGGAGCAGTTCCCCATATGGGCTCATCACAGCAATGCCATGCATCAATACTTCCGTGAGTCCCGAATGCAATTGTCCTACCTTTACGTCATGTCGAGGTTGTATTTAGACCCGGGCTGACCATGCTTGTAACCAAAATTTTAGTGTGGACCGCGCTCGAGTCTCTTGGATTGGGCGCCAGCCTGCAGCATTACAACCCTATCATTGATGCAACGGTTATGGAAGCTTTCTCACTCCCATCGGACTGGATATTAGTTGCACAGATGCCGTTTGGCGTCCCTACTGCACCACCATCCGAGAAGTCCTTTAATCCTGTTGAGCCGAGAGTGAGGGTATTCGGGAAGCAAGAGAATTAGACTCCACGTAATGACTAGAGGGGGAAGAGCCATCAAATTCCCAATTATTTAAATACAGTACATCACAGACTTTTATAGCTGAGTACTATCCGTTCGTGTCTCGTTAAAAAGTGTATATCATAATATATATAAGTATATAAACGTAAACGCTCATCTAATGGCAAGGGTGTATTCCCATCTCAGTGAACATGTTCTCTTGCATATCTCTGTACGCTTTCCAAAAACGAAATGTCTTCCTTGAATCCAAGTTCTTTGGCCCATGTAATGTCGAAGTTAGGGGACCATCCCTGAACGATCTTATCAACCGTCTCATCATACTTCTCCTCAACCAAGGCTCTCTTCTCCTTTCCACCAACTTGCTGCAGGACATCCAGCATCTCTGTAATGGAAACCTTGATTCCGGGTAGATTTACTGCTCTGGAATCACCAAACTTCTCCTTTGGAATGTCCTTCGCGTAGATCATATTTTCCACAACAACATATGGAGAGCATATCCACAGCTCCGTATCTTTTCTCACTGGCATCACGCTCTTCTCGCCCTTTAATGGCTCACGTATGATACCAGAAGCGAAGCTGCTCGCAGCGCCTGTGGGAGCACCGGCTCGAACAGTAACAGTAGGCAACCGAACTGACCTTCCGTCCAGGAAACCACGGCGTGAATAGTCATTCAGGAGTAGCTCGGTTGCAACTTTCGCCGTTGCGTATGAAGAAGTAGGCAGCGGTGGGATATTTCGTTCATTTATCATGAATCCAGGAGGTGTAGGCCCATAGACAGCCAACGAAGATGCGTAGACAACCTTTACGCCTGGAATCAATTTTCGTAATCTTTCGAACATATAATGTACCGAGAAGAAGTTGATTTTCATGCCGAGGTCAAAGTTAGCTTCCGACGCACCAGACATGATGCCATGGAGAATATACACCACATCATATTGGGACGGCGAGCTGATGAGCTCATCAACGGCGGCTTGCGAGGTAAGGTCGGCCTTGATACTGGTTATGCGGCTGGCGTCCTCTGGTTTTGCCGAAGATGGGACTGGAGGGGCCACGGTAACATCTGTGAGGGTGAGATGAGCGTCAGGACAGGCATTAAGGAGTCCCGTGGCCAACTCCTGCCCAACAAAGCCATTTGCTCCGGTAATGAGGATGGAAGGCATTGCTTTCTTCTCAAGTTGAAAGGAGCTCTATATTGTGAGTGGCTTAGGGTGGACTGCCCGAATGGATCCGATAGTTATTGCAAAATATAGAGGAAATATAGAGGCACTGATGGCGGTTATCAAGCCCGTATCAAAGGTGGGATGGCCGGCTACTTAAATCCTCCCCCTTGCACGCCCTCTCTGCAGCAGTCATGAAGCTGCATCCCGCGGGTGCGTCAAATCTAGGAGTAACGCCGAACGGTCGCTGAACCGACTATCACGGCAGCTGTACCGGGTCTTGTAACTTGTCTCCAGCGTCCCCTGAAACTGGCTCCCATTAGTTACGGGGAGTCCTATCATTCTTTCTTCTGCGCCGCTCACATTCTCCCGCGTCAAGTCGAAGCTCCACGGCACAAATCCATGGTCACGTGGAACGGCGTTACGCCGATGGCGCTCTTCGTCGGCGGTTATCCCGGGAGCCGAGGCCTGTGCGCGAGCATCAAGACCTGTTCAAAGGCGTACGTAGTAGGAGGAGGATGGGATCTTTGGTGCCAGGCATAGGCTGCCATGTCAGCTTTGATCGTTCGTCCCGGGATTGCTGGCGTTGATGGGCCAAATGGGCCAAATGAGCCAAATGGGCCAGTTTGGATAGCCGGCTGGTGTCAAGAAGAAAGTAACGATACAGGAGCTTGTTATGTACGTTAGGAATGGAAGTACATAAGTGCCCGAGGGCATCAACCTTAAATCCTTAGCGTGGGAGACAAAGTTAGGCTGTCGGATGATTCCTTCCGCCCTTTTCATGCTACCTAATCCGTAACCAACGATCTCTTGTAAGCTGTGGCTGAAGGGCAACTGCGGAAGAGGTAGAAAGATGCACTATCGAAGTCGAGAATGATGGGAATAACCAGGTCATTTTCGCATACCGAGTAAGCCAGTCCCTCGCTACATAAATATCTTAGTCGATGTCCAACGGCAAATGTGGAACACGTGACCAAGTAAAATATCAAACTTTAAAAGGGATTCTCGAGAGACGAAAGAGCCGATAAGGTGAAAGGTGAAGGGCGAAGGAAGCTCTATCATAAATAACAGACTAGTTGAAAACAGGCCCAAGGGACGTAGTAGATGACAGAGAAGGAAATCAGTGGACACGCAGAACAAATGCAGCCCTATACATTTTTTGAGAAAGAAACCACCAGATGGCAATACCTGTCAATAAACGGATCCATTTCGCATTTCAATAATGGGAACCCTGGAAGAAGACATAACGCAGGACTCACTCAAAAAGGAAGGGAAATAAAGTAAAACTCTCAAACGCCAATGAAAAATGGAAACAAGATATAAAACTATAGAAAGGAACACCAGAAAAATACCCAGTTTAGGTGGATCGGTAGATACCGGCAACAATACAGTGGTCACGCTCGAAAGGTTCTAGAAAGAAAGAAGTTAGTCAAATAAGCGTATCAAGATGGGGCAACACCGTGAGAAGGGTGTATACATACCAAGTGTAAGCTGTTCCTTTGGTTTTATCTTCTCGTCTCTCATTTTCTGTACTTCTCTGGCAAACACAACCTCTGGTTTTGCGGTACTGTCGATACAGTTGGCCTTGACACTGACAATGACACCGCCGCCGGTCTTCAGGAACAAATGGGCGTTAAGGCCAACAATACGGGCCTGGTCAGGCTGAGCAACATCAGCAAAGATGACATCGACCATGCCAACCAGCATTCGGTAGCGAAGAGGGTGACGGGCATCCTCAACAATGGGAATAACATTGGTGCGGTGAGTGGCCATGCCAATCAAATCACGGCCAGATCGGTGAGAGAATTCCACGGCGTAAACGGTTCCAGTTGGTCCAACAATGTCAGCAACATGACTGACGGAGGTACCGCTGGCGGCTCCAAGGTAGAGCACCTTTGACCCAGGCTTCATGTAGATGTCATCAAGACCACCGAGAATACCTGCAGCAAGCTTGCTTCTGAAGGGGTTCCAGACACGGTATTCGACTTTGGTAGCAGGCTCATCACCTGTGGAGGGTGCCTCAACAGATATGCGCTTCTCGCCATACACAGCTTCTCCTGGGGTGATATTCTTCGTGACGAGGAGATCCTCCTTTCCACCACGCGCAACAAACACACCGCCGTGACGATGAGGTTCCTAAAAAGAAATACCGTATCAGCTTGCCCTGCTTGTCAAAATTTTGTAAAAACAAATGTCCGCCAAAACTTACCACGATGACTTTGGCACCACCACGAGCACCGGGCTTTCCACCACGTCCACCGCGGCCAGCACCACGGCCTCTTGGGGCACCTCGTCCACCTCCGCGACCACCTCTGTCACCACCGCCGCGTCCGCTGAAGCCACCTATTTCAGTCAGTCACCCCCGCGCTTAAGATCTTCAAAATTAGAAAAAGATGCAAAGCCAGACGTCCAAATGAATCTCTAGCCGAAGCCCAAGTTCAATTGTACCCGCCATTGGAAGCTCTTTTCTGCCAGTATAAAGGATTTACACACCACGTCCACCACCACGGCCACCACCTCGTCCGCCTCGTCCTCCACGACCACCGCGGTCACCGCCACGTCCTCGAGGAGCTCCGAATGCCATGATACTGTGAGGTCGAGATCGACTTTTCGCGACTGAAGTATCGATTATTTAATTAACAGCCTTCTTTGGGGAGTGGCTGGACTTGGATGCGATTTGATCTGGTATCGAGCAATAAACTGCGGGGTATATCTGCTCTGAAAGTCGAATAGACTCGCTTCCCTAGAGAGAAGAATATATCGACCTGCGAATGTACTTCAAACGATCAATTGGTGACGTTTGAAGAGAAAGATATTTATCCAAGGTCTTTAAAAATTGATTCTTTTTTTTTGCTTCTTCATTTTTTTTCGCACGATGATTTTGCTAAGCTTCTAGCCACAAACGGCTAGACTTATTTCGTGCTTAGTAACTAGTAGATTACGTGAGCTCATACACGTGACTTCCAAAAAGAGAAAGCTGTATTTCATCTTGAAGCTCAAACGTTTTCAACGACAACGAAACAACAACCAACATATAAGTCGACTGGCATTATTAACATTGCATACATCATGACACCTAACGCCAATACTCCTGGTTTTTGCACTATGTTCATACTTATGTACATATTTGCCGTTTTTTGCCGTCCTTAAATACATGCCAATATCCAATAAACCGGTGCTAACTGTGCAAGACGATAAAATAAACGCATTAGGGAAAGGGTATGATAAAGGAAACTGAAACTCGACGAAAGTAAAGGAAACAGACAAAAGGAATTCATTACATTTGGCCACTCGCATTTATCCATAGAACCAGTACTGGGCAGCATACTGGATTTGGATCTGTTCTGGCAATCCAGCGCAGGTTGCTGGTGCCTTGCCTCCAGCAGTGTTCACACGATATACCCTCTTTGCCTGGCCTTGGCTGGAAGGAACCGATTCAAGCATCAGCCAGTTAACGGCGCCTTCTTGCTCTTTCTTGACGCCCTTCATAGCGTTGGGCGGTGCTGGCTTGGAGTCGCCCTTTTTAACACCACAGATACCCAGCTTTTGTAGGTCAAATGTTGGCACCCCTTCCCAGTCGAAGTAGTGGTGGCCCATTGCCATTAGGTCTACTGGACCACGGGCGTTGCTGGATGGCGGAGGATTGGTGAGCTCGAGAGCAAGGTTGGGGAGAAGCGAGAGGAGGAGGGGGTAATTGGATGCGATGCAGGAAGCGTCGAACAGCGTGGCAACTGCACCAGTGGCCTTTGGTGCTTCATCCGGGGATAAGCCAGCGCAGGTATAATTCTGCCGTTTGGTTAGTACCGTCTCATCTAATGTCATTGGTGAAGTTCGGGGTAACTCACTTGAGTGCCACGTCCGATTGTGACTGCAAGAAGCTTCTGGTCTTGGGGAACTTCCGATAGTTGCGGATTGCTTGGGAGCACGGCTTTGGAGAGATCGCAAGTAGGCTGGCGAGGGAAGCCTTGGTTGGCGTGCGAAATATAGTCCCCGATTTCGGCGAGCCATTTGGCAGAACCTGGGGACCAGCCAGCTGGCGCAGCGTTCACTCCAGCAATTGCGACACAGGCAGAGAGGATTGTGGAAAAGCGCATGTTGGATAGGTTGATGTGGATTGCTTTGGGTCGTTTTACTATTTTTTTTCAGGTGGTGTTGGTAGAGAATAGTTTCGTCAAGAAACTGTGATTTTCGAATGCAGCAGACAAATAACGAATCAACCGAAGGAAATAATGGGATGAGAAGCAGTAGAAATGAATTGAAATGAACAGGAGAAAGAAAGAAACAGAAAGGAAAAGAGTCGGATATCGCAGACCAGATGCAACACCGTGAAAAGATGAGGGATGGAGCGAAGGAGTTCGATGCAAGAAATGGCCAGCAGCAGACATCTTTATATATAGATCGCCTGGGAGTATTTCCCCTTTGAGCGATTCTTCAGAACATGCAGAGACTTCCATGCAGCCGCCCACCGGCAACCAAAAAAAGAACAACCCCAAACACTCAAACTCTCCCACGATCACTTGCCAGGCCCAACTTGGACAGTGACTGGCTGGAACCTCCACGGATAAAAATAGCGCAGAGCAATGGCCAATCACTTGGTGGTCGGTGCATGGCGGCTCGCAGGGTTGTCCCTAGGGCTATCTTTAGCCAGGGCCCCAACGTCAAACATGACTGGCTGCGTATAAGCGCCGTATTGACGTATGTAACGATAGATGAACCTTCAGCTCAAACCATGCTCTGCAAGCCCTCAAGGTCTTCCGCGGACATATCTTCTGCCCAAAACCCGCTCTCCGGGTTCCAGAAATAGGTCCTCGCCATCGGTTTCAACGTTCAGACTTCCAGTTTGTCCTCTATAGTTGCAATGCATTAACTATCGTCAGCTTGAGACCTGATCTGTTCCTTAACTAACTGCCTAGTTATGAGTCGCCACGATTAACTGTCCGAAATTAAACTGGTCTGTTAACTAGACTCAGCTCTTCGCTTCGCCTGCCATTGTATACCCTGGGGGAGGCATTGAGTTCCCGCCTGTTATTTCCATTTCAAGACATCGTCTCACCCTTGCTACCTATTTCTGCATTGAACTTGCAGCGTCCTAGGCAGCTCAAGAAATTAATTACAATCCTTCAAGGGTATGCATCCTGGCTGCCTGATGGCCCTGTAACCCCTTTCGGCCAGGAACTGTGTCCCTCTAGAGACTGCAATGCGCACGCGGCACACTCACATACACGCCACGGTGTACAGCCCCTCGCATGCATGAAATTCGCAATAACATAATGATCAACTTTAGCTAAGTTACCGTGTCCCTCCTGCATGCTCTCAAACATTGGCACCTGCCCATGCAACGGATATACGCCGTTGGAACTAAGGGCGAGTGCATTTAAAATAACACCGCATAGCAGTATAGCAGCATAGCAACATGGTATGGGCAGGGTATTAAGGCCGTGGTCAGAGCGTACATTTGCCACACTTGAGAACCTAGGGTAGGCCATCTGTTGACTACATAACTAGCATACATCACTTGAATATTGGAAGGTCCTCTCTTCGACTATATACAGATAGCAGTGGGGTGGCACATTAAAGGGTAGATCCGAAGACTCAGCAAGAAATACATATTGGTCAAATAAAGATCAACGCCGTCTAGACATAAAGAAATGTCAAGTGTTAGACGAAAAAGATACGAACGTTTGTCTCCACGGGATAACATGTCAAACACACACGGTTTCAAAGATCTCGTTAGTCCATAGGATCAAGAGGGCCTCCACCAGCTGCCCCGAGATTTTGACCTGCGCCATGATCAAGCATGATGCCAGCATGCTTCTCGATACCAGTCGTGCTCATAGAATACAACATTATGAATAAGAAGATGTGCAGAGCGAGACAGTAAGCTGCAAATAGATTCCTGCTTGTCCTGTTGGCAAGAACCATCCTGGTGATTGAGAAAATAATCCGCTCAGGGACACTCATGCGCTTGTATGCACGAGCGGACTCACGGCCTCTAAAAGCGGCGAAGGGGGATATCTGAGCCTCGTATGCTGACTGGTATCTATCAAGTGACAGGCCAGAGGGGGTATCAGGATCGACTTGGATCGCCGTTGCATTTGGCCTATTTGAATATGGTGTTGCAGTTGAGGAGGTTGACGCCTGCCCCCTATTGTATGTCGACACATACCGGGTTTTCTCGTAAAGGCCGAGATTATCTTTCTGTAAGGATGCGACTTCTGCCCGCAGCGATTTAACGATACCATAAGTCTTTGAAAGCTCCTCTTCCAACTCGCTGTTCTTCTGCTTGAAACGATCACGCTGTGCTTGGACCATTGGAAGTATGCCGGAGCCGCCTCCAACAGGCTCACCTGCCCGAATTGCTTCCATGGTGGTAGGGGACATGGCGTTATCGAAGCCAGAGATGATGGAAGAGGTGGGGGATACTCGTCCTCTACGGGAGCCGTGAGGGTATCTTGACACATATGTTCCCGCCACCGACATAGCAGAGGAGTTTGTTGCTTCACGCTGGATGTGCAGTAGGTCGTTTTCCAGTTTAGTAGCCAGCTTTCTTGACTTGTCCAATTCCGAATTAGTTCGTGAGAGCTCTTCTCGGAGGGCTACTAGTTGGCCTTCTAAGTCCTGGTGAGATACTCGCAAGATCGTGAGCTCATTCGATAGTTTCTTGTTGCGTGCTAGAAGCAGTTGTTCTAGATTATTCTCCTTGGAGTTTGAGGGCTTGGGATCATCAACGGAAGTATCAGGTTCATCATCTCCAGTTGAGAATTCAATAGACTACCGTAGTCAGTAAAGGCGTTGACCCTCAGTGGAATTAGATGAAAGCATACCTTGATGACCTCCAACTCACGCTTGATATCATCGTAATCTGCAACTTTCGTAAGCTTTTCGCGGAGTTCATCTCGCTCTAGCGTAATCTTTGTGCTAGCTCGTTCACATTGGCGGAGCTTTCCTTCCCAGGTATTTCTCTCCGCATCCTTATCAAAGCGAGCAGCCTCGAGTTTCCGCATTAGCGAAGAATTCTCAGTTTGCAACCGTAGGTATTGAGGTTCTTCTTCCACGGGCCGGGAGCTTTGCTCGGATTGAGACTGAGAAGCAGCTTGAGCTAGCTCGAGACTAAGCTGCTCATTGCGAGCCTCGACCTCAGCTAGACGAATGCTTGTCCTTTCTAGATCTGAAGCGACTATTTCAAGCTCCGCTGCAGTTGCCGCACTGCGCGTGTCGCCTTCGGCATTCTCGCTGCGGTCCAGCCGCTGGGAGACTTCATAGCTAGCTTTGAGCTCTTTGAGCAAACGGTCGTGATTCTCGGCCTTTTCTTCGAATGCCTTCTCCTTTGCCTCCCAGTTACTCGTCTTTTCTGCCAGCACAGCTTTCCACGACGCTTCAACTTCTTGGATCTTCTTATCCTGGTTCTCTTCTAGCTTTAGCCGTGCTGCACGTTCTTCAGCAAGCCGCTTCTCAGTTTCTTCGAGCTGGTACGTTAAACGGTTGACGCTGTTCTGCAAAAAGTCCTTCTCAGCATTCAACTTGGGGACTGTATCTTCGGATAAAACGAGAGAATCGATCGAGGCCTCGAGCAAAGGGTAAGGATCTGGAGCTTCTGATAACGCAGTATAGAATTGTAAGAAAGAAGATGAGGCCACCTTCCCCTGGTTCGTGAGGAGATCTATAAAAGCCTGGTATGCTTTAAGGTTGTCAGCTAATAGCTCCCCCTTTTCACTATTCAGTAGCTATCTATACGCACATTTTAACAGCCCTTTATACTCTGACAGTTTCGAGGCATCATCAAGCTTCCTGAAATCCTTAGTCTTCTGCGCTAGGTCTTTCCTTTGGACAAGGGAGTCTCTCTGATGTGACACGATATCGGAGGCCGTCGTATCGTGTTTGGCAATCAAATTTGCAAGATCAATTCCTACGCCGAGAACCAGTTAGCGGGCCACCTATTACATTCGGCTACCAAAGAAAAGGCACGCACCTCGCCATACTGCAATAGCTTTCTGGAACTTGTTCTCCTCTTGAACCTGCTCAGGCGTCTTGTTAGTTTCAGCGCTGCGGCCATTCTCAGTAGCCTGTGAAGTTGCACTCTCGGATGCAATCAACGGGTCCATCTTCTCTCTATATCTCAAATAACAAGGCTTGTCTACCCTGCATAACAACAAACGAGACGTTGCCAGAGAGAACAGGTCTTCATCAACACCCTGGAGGCTGCCTCGGTGTCAACTTGCGAAGCTCCAGAAGAACGTTGGTTGCTTATATAAGCAGCCGCCTCTCCGCGCCGTAACTTTAGAAAGAGCTTCAGGATAGAGATACGACAACAGGCAGCAGACAAACAGCCAGCGAACAACAGCAGACAAGAGAGGCCGGCTTGAAGCATTGTTTGGGCGTGAGTCTCTGGGGCAGAGCATGCCTTGAGATGCGCGAAGTTGAGCCAGTATTATGGGATCTGATGGTGACATCGATCCGCGCCGGAAACGGAGGCGCATCAGCCCTCCAGAGACAGGTCCCTATGTGCTACGGCCGCTACTCGAAGATGTCCCAGTGCAGGCGGAAGATGGCGAGGGACAGGCACATATAACTTGTGTGGAATACTGGAGTACGTAGTACTGTACTTGTACCATTTTTGTTACCTCGGGATGTCTTGTCCTAACTGTTAGCTTTTATGAACAGATGAGAATCTATACGTCGGGACCTCCGCTGGTGAAATACTACATTTCGTCTCCCTACCTCCTGAATCAGAGCTGGAAACTGGTAATCCCTCGTTTATATTAGCTTCAAGGCAACCCATTATATCGTCCGCTCGTGTCACTACGTCCTGTGGAATACAGCAGATTCTAGTCCTTCCTACAGCCAGCAAAGCTTGCGTCCTTTGCAATGGATCCGTCTTCTTCTACTCTCTGCCAGAGCTCAGCCCTGCATATGGAACAACAAAGGTGTCCAACTGTAACTGGATTGGTGGTCTCGATCTTGACGAGCTAGACGCTGAGGATGCGGAAGAAGCTTCAGACCCTATCATCATGTTGGGAATGCAGGACAAGATAATGCTGGTGAAGATTGGAGAAGGTCCGCGGAGAGTGAGGAATATCGAATTCCCCGGATGTCTGATTGCCAACCGAAGGGGTACCATTGCGTGTGTGGCAGACTCTCGCTCCTATGCGTTACTTGAGGTCGAGCATCGTCAGAAAATCCCTCTATTCCCAATCTCCTCAAACGACGAGTATGATGAATTCAAGGTAGAAGATATACCATCTCGGAGTGCTAGCCCTGCATTGGACAAATTACCAGTTGCTTCTAATGGTAATTCTGGGGCAAAGGGCCATGGAAGAAGTACCAGTTTGAACGTCATAGCCACCAGCTCAGAACTACGTCAGCAGAGCACACAGCCTGACCTTTCAGGAACATCTACCCCAGAATCCCTTGCGGAAGGGAAACTATCAAAGCCAACTAGCTCCCATGATAGACGCTTGTCTATTCCAAGCAGGTCTCCATCAGCCGCGCCAGCTGATGGACTTGGCCAGAAACCTCTTCCGCCAACCCCAAGTCCAACTCCAAAGAAACCTACCTCTATTTTGAAACCACATATTGTATCGCCCACACCTTCTGAGTTTCTGCTGGTCACGGGGACAGATGCCTCGAATCCTGCCGTTGGTATGTTTGTCAACCTCGAAGGTGAAACTGCAGAACGTGGAACCATTGAATTCCGGACATATCCCGATGCAATCGTACTTGACAATGGGGACGAAGACCCAAACTCACTTCCAAGTGGGAATGATGCAGATGGGTATGTTTTGGCAGTGGTAAACGCTGCTGTCGATGCCGACGCAGCGGGAGAAGTCAACGAAGAGAAATGTCTAGAAGTGCAAAGATGGGATATTAATCCCGGAGAGGGAGAGAGGCAACGCTCCCTAATAACCATATCGCTAGAACCCCCTGCATCTGGGCCCGTTGGGATTGCTCGAACAGTCAGCTCGAACAAGATGAACTTTGCAGATGTTGGGGAACTCTTACAGGTTGTCCGGCTCAAGGTGCCAGATCTACGAACTCCTGGATCGATGACCCCGCAAAAGAACAATGATCCTAGGACTGAGGCATCCATAGAGCAGCTGCAAAAGGAAAAGGAGCTATTTGAAAACGACTCCGATGGCTCTAAACAAGTCAAATTGCGGCGCGGGTGGGAGGCTGAAAGGAATGAAGAGGAATCAACGTTTGCAAAAACACTGGGTTACGTGAAAAGCAATGTCATGCTGTGGGAGGGAAACCAGATATGGCGTGTCCTCCGTAACCCTTTGGCATTACAACTGGAGAACGCCCTCCTACTCACTCAGGAGATACAGGACGCGAAAACTTGTCGGGTTGCTGACAAGGCCGCGATAATAGACATGATGATAAGGCTAGATTCGATTTTACCAAGAACTGCGCCCGAGTCTCTCGGTTTGAATTATGTTAAACAAAAGGCCAGCCTGCTGCTTTTTGGGGATCTCATTGCAACAAGCCCCGAATATCAAACTCCAAGTACGATTAAGGCAGTGGAGGATGTGCTGGTTGCCGGAGAGCTGGACCCTCGTATCATCCTCCTGTTTACACCATTACTTAGAGAAGAAATCCTACAAGGGCCACAGGGTATTTGGATATGTGCTGGACTTACTAAGGTCGTTGATACTCTTTTTGAAGTGTCCAAGGACCAAGATGGCACGATCAAGTTCAACTTTACAGAGCCAATTCTACGGATGCTGGTTAGATACTTAACTTCCTGGCATAGGAAGAGAGGATACGGGAGTGTGACTGATGATACCTATGTGTTCGACAGCGTGGATTCCGCGTTGCTTCGTCTCCTGCTTCACCTTGATGCAAAGCACAATGAGGTGAACGGGAAGGCTGCGGCGTCTGAGATCCGACCAGAGCTTAACAAATTGGTGGATAACTGGAAGGGCAATTTCACCCGTGCAGTGGAGCTACTAGAGCTCTACCAGCGGCTCTTTGTTTTGAGTCGACTCTATCAGAGTCGTAAAATGTCCGGCCATGTTCTTAGGACATGGCGCAGAACGATCGAAGGAGAGAAGGATGTCGGCGGCGAGATGACCATTCCTGCGGCTGAGCTTCAAGTACGGAAGTATCTGGTGAAGATAAGGGATCCTAACCTGGTTGAGGAATACGGACTCTGGCTCGCAGCGAGAAACCCCAAGCTTGGAATCCAGGTATTCTCCGATGATACCAGCAGAGTCCTGTTTGATCCTCCACAGGCTATTCGAATATTGAAGGACCGTGCTCCTGGTGCTGTACAAGTCTACTTAGAGCACCTTGTCTTTACCAAAAATGTGTGTGTTCACTGAAGTACTCCCTTCATGCCTGTTCTTGCCTGTTACTGACTCGTCTACCAGATTACACGATATGCCGACGACCTAATATCTTATTATCTAGACACCGTTCTCTCTGTTCTCGAAACCTCACCCGAAGCCAGGGCTTCCCTCACCGAATCATACTCTACCTACCGTGCTCTGCAACCTCCAAAACCCTCGTACCTGAGCTTCATCACCGAAAATGCACCTCCAGAGCCATGGTGGCAGTCCCGTCTCCGACTATTACAGCTTCTTGGGGGAGCAACTAGAAGCCAGTTCACCTCCGCAGCATCTCTCCCCTCAGATCTACCTTACTCCATCCCTACAGTGCTCGAACGAATCGAGCCGTTTAAAAACGAACTAGTGTCGGAATGCATTATTCTCGGCGGCCGCCAGGGACGACACCATGACGCCCTTCACCTGCTAACCCACGGCCTCGGCGACTATGACTCCGCTATCCGATACTGTCTTTTTGAAGGACCCGGTGCCTCCACATCCCACAGTATGTTTTCCCGGAAATTCTCCCCCTCTGAGGGGCAAAGGGAGCTTTTTGCATGGTTACTCCAGGAATTCTTTCAGATCGCCGATCCTTCAGAACGTACCGAGCGAACGGGAGACCTACTGGCCCGGTTCGCTCCGCTCTTTGATGTACGCAAGGTGCTTGATCTGGTCCCTGATGAGTGGAATGTGGGTGTCCTCAGCGAATACTTTGCCCGGGCTTTGCGTGACCTCGTCTCGGAATCTCGGAATGCAAAGGTCCAGCGTGCTCTCAGCGCCGGACTCAACCTCAAGGTTTGTGCCGATTTCATCAAGGAGTCTGAGAAGATCGGCGGATGGGTCGAAGATGCTGGCCAGGTCAAACCTCTAAGGGGAGGCAAAGACACCACCAGCACAGAGCCAGAGCCCCAGGCTGAGGGTACCGTTGAAAACAACCAACCGCCTAACGATGCCGGCACCCAGATACGGCCAGACGACACCCTGAAGATATCTTGATACATTACTAGTTACATGCTTCTCTTTCTCCTTTTTTTCTTTTCTCGTTTGGCATACTGTTTCCCAAGCCTCGGGAATTGTGTCTGTCTATATAACTATCAAGCGGAGCTTCTTTAGATTCAATAGTTACCTACTCACCAAAGACGTCATATTGGTCATTATAAACTTGCTGCTCTTACAGCGTCTCCGACTTCAACAGGCCCATCCGTGCCCAAGCATCGCCGAGACAGCCGAGATCGTGATCCTACAGGCCTAAAACCCGGCAGTTGATGCCCGGAGTAATAAGATATTAGCCTTGTATTTTTAGGCGTAGGGCGCCATCGCAGCGAGTGTCAGTATTTAAACATACTGAGCGGGCGTCTATAACTTACGGCAAATCCGATTTACTTCACAGCGCCTTTCCCTACTTCGTCCGTACATTAAGGTCTAACATCTTGACTTATCAAATTGTCCAGGATGGCTCACGCTCGCCGTTCGGTCTATCACAATCCAGATGCGCAGCAATTCAGGCTTGACCGCGAGGTGGCGGGCGCAGAGAAGCAGTTCCACCAGTCTCTGCCATCATACAAGCCAAGTCCGCTCGTCTCTCTCGACAAGCTAGCAAAGGAGATTGGAGTATCCAAGGTCTTCATCAAGGACGAGAGCAGCCGTCTCGGTCTTCCATCGTTTAAGATCCTGGGTGCCTCGTGGGCCGTCTATCTGGCTGTTTCGTCACATCTGAAGCTATCGAGCCCCTCGCTGGATGAGCTCTCCCGCGCAGCCGCCAGCGCTCGCATCAAACTGCTAGCTGCAACTGACGGTAATCATGGACGAGCCGTTGGCCGCATGGCGAAGATACTGGGGATATCCTCTGAGATCTTTGTTGGCAAGAATCTGGACCAGCATACCCGGGACCTGATAGCTGGCGAAGGGGCGACGGTCACTGTTGTCAAGGGAGACTACGACGATGCGATATCTGCTTCGGCGAAGAAAGCAGATGAATACCCTAATTTCATTCTGGTTCAAGATACTGCTTTTGAGGGCTACGAAAAGATCCCTGCTTGGATTGTCGATGGCTACTCTACGATGTTGACTGAGATCGATGATCAGTTGCAGGACCAGGGCTTGAAAGCTACGGCTATAGTCTCGCCTGTCGGGGTTGGATCTCTCTGTCAGGCTGTGGTATCTCATTGCAAGACCAAGGGAAAGGAAATGTCCGTTCTTACTGTCGAGCCGGATGTTGCTGCTTGTCTGCATAAGAGCTTAAGGGCTGGACAGATGACTCAGGTGAAGGTATCAAAGACGATAATGAGCGGAATGGAATGCGGAACTGTCTCTTCTATTGCATGGCCGGTATTACAGTCCGGAGTCGATGCTAGCGTTACTATCTCCGATTACGAGGCTCATCAGGGCGTGCAGTATCTAAGCTCAAAGGGGGTCAACGTTGGACCCTGCGGAGCTGCCGGTGTACCTGGTCTACGATATGTTGCAAAGACAGACCCATCCTCTCTTGGACTAACCTCTGATTCTGTCGTCGTTATCCTCGGGACAGAAGGGAGCCGTCCGTATACTACACCCAAGGATGTTTCTTCAGACGACTGTGTCGAATTAACCCAGACTTTGACGCAGATCAACTCGTCCAACCCATCAGAGACGAACCCAAGCGGTGTCGGCGAGGGAGAGATAGCGGACTACATCACCGCCTGGCTGGAGCACCGGGATCTAGAAGCTCATCGGCTGGAGGGTACCCCTGGGAGGCCCTCGGTGATAGGTGTCCTTCGAGGAACCGGTGGAGGAAGATCCTTGATGATGAACGGCCATATTGATACAGTGACTCTGGACAGTTACTCATCCGGACTTGACCCCCTTTCAGGAGAGCTGGCGGTTTCCTCTGCTGGACGCAAGAGGGTGGTGGGACGTGGTACACTGGACATGAAGGCGGGCATCGCAGCTTCAATGGCCGCTCTAGCAGAAGCTAAAACATCCTCCTCCCCACCTCGAGGGGACGTCATATTGGCAGCTGTTGCGGACGAAGAGTACTCATCCATTGGAACCAAGGAAATCCTCAAAGCCGGCTGGAGTGCCGACGGAGCCATCGTGGTCGAGCCGACGCTTGAAACGATCGCCCATGCACACAAGGGGATGACGTGGCTGGAAATAGAGATATTGGGCGTTGCTGCCCATGGATCCAGGCCCGATGACGGGGTAGACGCAATCCTACTCTCGGGGTACTTCCTGACAGCCCTGAAAGAATACGAATCAACCTTGCCAGAGGACAGTGATTTGGGAAGAGCGTCTCTTCACGCTAGTTTGATCAAGGGCGGGATTGAACCGAACAGCTACCCTGCCTCATGCAAGATGACAATTGAATTCAGGACTATCCCTGTTCAAACTAAGGAAGGCATACTGGCTGATGTCAACGATATACTGATGAAGATCAAGAAACGAGTAGTTGGATTCAAGTACAGGCCTCCTCAGGTCGTCGCCCATAAATCTCCGTTTGAGATTGCGAAGGATCACCCCTTTACTAGATGTGTGTATGATGCTACTGGCAAGGTATATGGCGACCCCTGTGTGTTCCAGGCACTGGATCCCTGGACTGACGCAGCTCTGCTTCACGATGCGGGTATTCCGTCAATTGTATTTGGGCAGTCCGGTGCCGGTTTGCATTCAGAGTATGAATGGGTTGATGTCGAGAGCATCCAGAGGACTCAGGGTGTGATATCTGCAGTTATTGAGGATTTCTGCAGCTAGTCTAACATGGGATCTCAGGAATCAAAAAGGCAGTATAACATATATACGCTTGTGATAATGGAAGGACGATGAAAAGTAATAATAATGCATTAACTATTCGAATCTGTATTCACACCTCCCTGGTAACTCAGAGTAGCCATTCGGAACGAACTTTGTCTCTATAATTAGTTGAAGTAAGCCCTGTAACCGTTATACGAACCCATTACTCGTCATCATCCTCGTCGTCTTCATCGTCCTCGATGCTTTCCACAAGGAGATTAACTCCTCGGCCAATTCGCTCCTTTACTGTCCCCCCAGCTTCAAGCTCATATACAGCACGAGGCATAGGTGAAACAAGGCGGAACCCATACTTGTGTTCGAAGTTCTCCGGTTCTGTAACCTCCGAGGAGCCCTTTTCGTCTTCCTCGGTATTATCGTCCTCCTCACTTGGGTGTAGGACATCGTAGCATTCAACGAACGCGTAGACTTCCTCTATATCAGCATCGCTGGAGAAGCGTCGTATGACCCTCTCCCCCGAAGTCAAGCGAAGACTGACGCGGATCGCATCTTTGTTATCCGTAGATGGCTCTGCAGGTATTGACTGTGCCCTCCATTTCTTCCACTGCTGAAGGTCCCTGTAATGTTTTTCAGCAGCAGCCTGCTGCTCCATGGCCTCTCGCTCCTGGCGCTCACGCTCAGCCTCAGCTTCACGGCGCTGTCTCGCTCGCTCCCTGTCCTGGGCGAGCGAGCGCTCATAAGCGGAATCCTGTTCCTGCCGTAGTGTCCGTGAAGCTTGTTGCTCTGCTCTAGTGGACCGTACACGGTCGAGAGAGGACTTATGTTGATTTGTAGCAGCACGGAGTTTTTCGAGGAACTCAGTGGGAGAGCTGAGGCCTGGAATCCTGCCTATTATCGACATGGCGGTAGATGAGACACTTGGAGTATGGGCAATTGCTACTGCAAAGGGGAACTTTGTGCATTTGAGTGAGTTCGCCACCTGGTATGACTCCGAGTCCTGGATATTCCCACCCCAGAGAAGAACATTGTTCGAAGGGTCGTTTAGGTATGAAACCACTTCTGGAGAGAGTAGGGTGTCCCGCACCCAGACATCGGTGTCATCGTGCTCCGGAGAGAGTAGAACAACCAGCAGAAACTTTAGATCCTTGTGGGATCTCTCAAGTGCCATGTTATACCCATTTTCGAGGAATGGTAGCGAGTGAGCTCCATACTCTTCTTCGAATTCCCGAATGAACCGAGCAGCCGTATCCTTTGGAGCAAGAGACCTTCTTCCCTGAGAAGATTTATTGACTCTCGATATTGTAGAACTCGCAAAAGTGTTCAGTAGGCGTGGTAGGAAGGGGAATAATGTTCCGAAGACGCGGAGAGAGCTTGATAGCAGCCTGTAAATGAGATTAAACGGCGTAAACAGGATAGCTAGTAGAAATGGCGGCCGGAAGGGAGGTGTATCGTTGGGCTGGGACGTTATCCGTGGCGCTGGCTCGGCTCGCCGTATAGATGAGAGTATGTTCGAGTTGGAGTATGCCAGGTCCGTAGCCATCAGGTTCTCGCGGGACTGCGGTATAGGAGGAGGTATCCCAGAATCCATAGCTGCTCGAGCTTCCTCCACGGGGTCCGGAGCTTCCCCATCGAAGAACTTGGTTATAGCAATCTGTATCGCCCGTCAGCATACCGTCTCTTCAACTGTGTGCGCTGTGCCCGTCTCTGTGCGGGTGTTGAGGCCTACCTGGACGTTCCATTCTGAGCGCCTAAGCAGCGGTATAGCAGCTTCCCGGTCCTGACCCGTCACAGCTAGATATGTCTGCAGAGTATTCTCCTGGTTCGTCGAGAGCTGAGCGCCCTCTCCGTCATCTCCGGGCATGTTATCTAGAGCTGCTCGAGCTGCTCATCCGCCACTGCTCGTGTGCTCCCGGGGGCTGTACGGAGTATATAGAGCAGCAGCAGCGCAGCTATGAGTTCGCTTCCTAGGACGCTCTGGCTTATCCGGCAGCTCTCAACAGTAGCTGGCAGGGTGAAACCGCTCTTTCTTAGGACTTCCGGCGCTCGTCTTCGTCTCGCTTATGATGAAATCGACATGCCCAAAAGCCACGGTTCGCATGTATCGTAAGGAAGTTGCGTAATATAACAGTCACATGATCTAAAGTAAGTGTGTATCTGTGTAATAATACTGTATCTCTAATTATATAAGCATGAGAAAAAGGAAAAACGAACATCTCGAACTTGCAGCAGCGAAATCAAGCGATATCAAAGTCGAACAGCAAGCCGAAACGGACGCCAGAAGACAGGAGACGCTCTCTGTTCGCCGTGTGTGCCGGTGCCCTGCTCGCCGCCGACGTTGCGTACTGCCTGGACGGGCCCTCGTCTGGGACATTGGTGCTGCGCCTGGAGATATAAGACAGTGACGTTTCGCCGCTCTCCCGCGCCCGCGCCAGCGCCCCCCCAAAGAGTGTGAAGGAATGCGCGGAGTCGCCCATCGATCTCTCGTCTGCGACCTATTACCCCCCAGCCAAAGCCGATGGGGCCTCTCTCGCGCTGATTTGCGTGTGCTGTGACCCGTGGAGGAAATGGCATCTATAGCGAAACCGAGTCTCGAGGACGGGAGACGTACCAATGGCTCTCCAAAGTTGAAAGGGCGCGGTAAGCTGCATAGACGAAGACTCCATCCCTTCAGCATTTATATTTCGTTTGTTATAAAAGAGCAGCTTGTCTAATCTCGTCTTTTGTAACTGACCCATCAGTTGTAGAAAATGCAAAGGATACACTCTGCCGCAATGTGACGATATATGGCAGGTGTCGATATGAGGATAAAGGTGTGAACTCGGCCGTCTTCGTCACTGCAGACAACCCCTGAATACCTCGATGGTTTCTAACCATGCCTCAGGATGCGCGTTTAACCATGATCCGCAGAAGGTGAATGCGGCGCAACATGAAAGGTTGGAGTGATGAATTTCTATGCGTTTTTCAATGCATTTTCTGAAGCTCAGATAGCTCATGTCTGGCCTCCAGTAGCAGTGGTGCCGGCATCAAGCAGAAACGGCTGAACGTTGAGTCGCCCAGTTTCACTCCATCGACTACGCCAAACAACGGCACAGCCACGACGACGGCAGCCATGGCGAAGAAGCCGGCTACTCTTTCTCCAAAGGCTGCCGGTGCGGCGCCCTTTCTTCCCAAGGGTTCACTCTCCCGTACGTTCCCGGAATATCCCAAACAAATATGCATACGAACAATGAATGAAAGACTGACTGCTTTCAGGTGCAAACTCTGGAATATCACAGCTACGTCAAGAAACCGGTACTCCCGAATGGGGTTTGACGGACGTACCTGACTTTGTACCACAGCGGTTTGATACTGTGGTATGTTGCCTATTTTAATTCCAGCTTATAACCGGCGTGCTAATTGCGCAGGACTCGATGCAGGCAACAAATAATGGTGTCCTTGCTGCTTCAAATGCATATGACCCGTTCGTCTCGACGACAACTCCGCTGGGCACTGCTGGCGCGGTTGTCACCCACCCGCTTCAGCAAAATCCTTATGTTCATGATCACACCGGTATCGGTCCCACGTCATATTTCACCGCTCAAAATTCGTTTCAGCAACCAGTAGGTTTAACAGATCCCCTATTTAGACATAAACTGCAGTGCTAAAGCAAGGGAAAAAAAAAACAGGCCCAATATCATCTCTATGCGCCGATTGGACCTCATAATCAAAATATCCTTGGATATCAACGGAATGTTCACGACCTATTTATCCCGAATGACTTTAGAGAGGAGCTGCAAAAGAAAGCTGCAGCTACACTACAGACCCTTCCTAGTATGTTTGCTTGCACCATTCTATCCACCCTTTCCACTGTACTAACCCTCGTTAGACTCCCAACTACCTGCTCAAATCGACCACTTCCACTCACTTGTGCCGCTCGACGTAACGCATCAGAAGAATGCTACCATCTTCGGGTACCCTAGCTGGGTATATAAGGCACAGTCAAGCAAGGATGGCAACTATTATGTACTTAGACGGCTGGAAGGTATGACATATTCTCATTTTAACTAATAATCACCGGGATTGAGAGCTAAACCTGTTTCAGGCTTCCGATTAACCAACGAAAAGGCCATCAGATGCGTCCAGGCCTGGAAGCGAGTTATTTCCGCCAGTGTAGTGACGGTACACGATGCGTTTACCAACCGCAGTTTCCAAGACAGTTCTCTCATATTCGTTACGGACTACCACCCCCTGTCCAAAACACTCGCTGAGCAGCATCTTGAGAGCTCGAACCGGTACCAGAACCGCCACGCGAGCACCCATGTAACCGAACCGGTGCTTTGGGGCTACGTGACACAAATTGCTTCCGCCCTCAAATCTATCCACAGCGCAGGATTGGCTGCGCGGGTCATCGATCCCAGCAAGATACTGCTTACTGGCAAAAACCGCGTACGGTTGAATGCGTGTGCCATACTGGACGTGGTGCAGCATGATACGCAGCGGTCCATTGCCGACTTACAAAGTAACGACATGGTCAACTTTGGCCAGTTGATGCTCACGCTAGGAGCTAGCTCGCTAGCCCACAACCCCACAAAGGCACTAGAACACTTCTCCCGTGCATACAGCGCACAACTCTACAATTCGGTCTTCTGGCTTCTAGGCGCGGGCCCGTCTAAGGACCCCCAAAACCAGGCGGCCACAGACCGGACCATCGACGTTTTCATCACCGGCATCTCCTCCCAACTCATCTCCACATTTGACTCTTCCCTTCACGTCGACGACGAGCTCACCCACGACCTGAGCCGGGAACTTGAAAATGCACGCCTTGTGCGACTTCTCACCAAACTCAACTTCATCACCGAGAGGCCCGAATATGACCATGACCGCCACTGGTCGGAGAACGGGGAGCGTTACTTCCTAAAGCTGTTCAGAGATTATGTCTTCCACCAGGTCGACGGACAGAATGCGCCCGTCGTAGACCTGGGCCACGTGCTTACGTGCCTGAACAAGCTGGATGCAGGCAGCGAGGAGAAAGTGACGTTGATCAGCAGGGATGAGCAGAGCTGTTTTGTAGTTAGCTATAAAGAGCTGAAGAAGGGAGTTGAGATGTCGTTCCAGGCATTGATGAAACGGCGATAAACAGGGGGTAAACAAGGGTAGGTGTTTCGAAGATGTTGGTCTATCGGTGTTTTGTGTGTCTTCTTTTTTGTCTATATATACGACTCGCCATCTACCATCCATGCCCAGGAACCCGGATCTAGCTCTATCAAATTCGCTATCAAGAATGAAAATTAAACTTTACGTATCAACAAGTTAATGCTTTTCGTTGTTGGCGTGGAAAAGGGGAAGAAAGCAAAGATTTGCAGGTTTAGATTCATTATCTATCGTGTCGTACTCCCGACTAAAAGTATCAACCTATTCATCCTCCTGCTGCACGAAGGGGTTGGCAATCTCTTCACTCCCGTCGGCCGGGGAGAGCAAGACCAACAACGTCCCTCTGGCCACGATCAGACCGAGTGACCGAGTCGTTACATTGTCATTGTCATCTAGACCACCATCAGTTAGCATACAATGCATGATCAAACGTAGGAACTTTAAAGGAAAGAGTAGCGAGCTTACCGCGCATCGTCTCTTTGACGTCGTCCAACACAAGGTTCATAAGCTGGTCGTATCCCTTCAAAACACCGGTGACTACAACAACCACGTAAGCATATGAACAAACAGCAAAACAGCAGACACATAAGACACACCTTCTCTGCCGCCGTTGAACTTGACATTGACCTCTTTGTCCATGTACTTGGTCAGGTCCAGGATGTTCTCCTTCTTGGGCTTCTCCTGCTGCTGGCCCTGTGTCTGGCCCTGGCTCTGGCCCTGGTGGCCTCCGCGGTGCTGGCCCTGTCCCTGGTGGTGACGGCCTCCCCGTCCGCCGTCGCCTCCTCCCCTGCCTCCGCCGGAACCGCGGCCGCGAGACTGTCCGCCTCTGAAAGAGCCGCGTTCAGACATGTGTGCGAGTGTATGTGTATGTGTGCGTGTGAGAGAGACTATGTGGGGTATATCCTAGTTCATGTATTGCAAAAGACCCTTTGCAGGCGTAGCTCAGGCAATTAACTTGCAAACGAGGCCTACACCAGAGCTGTAACTAGTTAATGTATGTTGGTTCCTGTTGAGCTGTTGACGTCTGCAGCTCTGTCGGCCAACTATACTTTTTGATATCTTCCTATCTTTCCTCCCGCGAGGTTAAGCTAAGCTAACGTTTTTTCCATGGTCACGTGATGCATTTTTGCGACACACAAACAAAAGCCAACTGCATACAACCAACGACCTAACACGACTACTATGTACGATGTATATCAAGGGTTGGCTCGCTGCGCTACGAGCACTTCTACGGGGCGAGTCTGTCGGGCTGCACGCTCGGTGGTGTGGGGGCACCACGCTCAGCACGGCGGCCTGACTGCACCACCCGACCTCCTCCCGGCTGCAGCTGCTGTGTACTCCAGTCTCCCCGTATGACCGTGACTGTGACTGCTACGTCTAGTTATGGCCAGGGGTACTTCGAGGTACTTCCACCGCCCGCCAGCTTCCGCTGTGGCTGCAAGTTTCTCCGAGGTTCCTCCCTATCACGTGCCACATCACGTGTCTCCGCCCCTGCTCTCGGGCGGAAAGCCGGCGGACTCCGCTGGGCGAGACGAGCAGAAGCGCAGGAAAAAGCAAAAGGCGAGAAAAAGAGCGCAAGGGAGGGCCAGGAAAGGCCAGGGAGGGGACGGTTTGCGGTTTGCGGTTTGCGGTTTGCGCGTGAGTGGCAGTGACGGCGACCACGGCGACCACGGCAGAGCGACGAGACGGGACGGGGGGGAAAGGGGGACAGACCAAGGACTCTCTCTGGCTTCTGCTAGCCGTGGTGCACAGCCGGGATATCCAACGCATGCTGTTCCGGGCCTCATCCCTCCCTCCTCCACCTCTGCCTACCTGGCTGCCTCGCCGGCCGGTTTGCCCTCTGCTTTGCTCTTTGCTTTGCTTTGCTCTGCTTGCGTCGCCTGCCTGCTTGCTTGCTGGCCTCGTTGCTTTTTCTGCCCTGCGTCGGCCTCGTCGAAGCGTTAGGCTGATACTGCCTGCGCTGCAAGACGAGACACACAGCGAAAAAAAAAAGAGAGGTGCAAAAGTGCGTGCGAAAGCAGCCCAGCGGGCGGCCGACGGCTCCCTTCCCTCCTTTTTTTGCCTTTTGGTACTTTTTTTTCTGCCGCTCCTCCCCTTCTTCCACCCGTTCTGCCGGTCGTCACCTTCTTCCTCTCCTCTCCTCTTCCTCTCTCGTCTTCGCTCTCTCTCTTCTCTCTGCTTCCACCAACAGCTCGAGACTCCGCCCTCCGCTGTCATGAACATCTACACTCACCACGGCTAGCACAAGCGGTTGCAGAAGTGGTTGGATGATGGACCCCAAACGCCCTCGGTCGCCCTGCAGCGGCAGCACCCTCGACTATCCAGCTAAACAGCCCAAGACGGCACACCCCCAACACCACCAGCACCAGCCCCAGCATCAGCATCAACACCTCCAGATCAACTACCTCGCTCGACAGTACTCTGACACCCTCCCGCTCGTCTCCACAGACGACACCCTGCCTGCCATCCTCCGCTGGATAGGCGAGTATGACGGCGTACTGCACCGCCACGAGTCCATCGCCGGGAACCTGGGCGCCTGTCCGCTCGGCCCCATCCTCGTCAAGCGGTTTGAGCGTCTCTTCGACGGGCCTCCGCGTGTCATCAAGTCGGCCGCCAATGGCACCGACGGCAAAGAGACCACCGTCTCCTGGCTTGACGTCGTCGAGTTCGCAAAGGAGTACCCGGAGAAGTTCACCCTGGAAAAGACTCGCACGGGATCTCGGGTCTGCCAGCTAGATATCAAGCATGCCAGAGTCGAGATCTCCGAAGAGGACTACGTCCTCATTGCTTCTGGGATGCCACAGAAGATGATCCCGCCGCAGCCCATCAGCGAGGACGAGGAGAAGGAGCTCGGTGCGCTGGAGATCCTGGAGAAGAACCTCGTTTATATCATCCAGCTAGCCGATCAGGGTACGTTTCTTGCCTTGCGTAGTCTTAAGACTTGATAATAGCCCGGTTGGAACATATAGCTAACGGGTATGTATACATGTAGTATCGGCTCGAGCTCGACAGCTCAACCACCGACTCAAAAACCGCCGTAACGCTATCGTCTCCAGGCGCGAGAACGATGCCTCTCTTGCCCAGGCGCAGTCGTCGCAAACCCGGGCCATCAGTCCCTGGAAGGATAGCGGCAACACTCCCAACGGACACGGACAGTCTCGCACCGCCTCGCCGCCGGGCTTCGTCGCCGTCAACTCCCGCCAGGAGCAGGCTCAGGCCTACCACGACGAGCCCGCGCAGTTCGCCTTCTCCCAGCCCATATCAGACAATGTCACCATCATCAATGGCACGTCCATCAAGGGCGCGTCTCCAAGCACCCGCGCGGAGCTTATGAAGAAGTTCTTCACCACCTCCGACAGACGGATGCATCAGCACCACCAGCAGAAACAGCCTGATCACGCAGACTCTGCATCAGAACACCAACAAGCTGCATACTCTGGTCAGGGCAACTCGCCTATTCCTCCCGTTCCTATTCCAAACACGCCATCTTCGTTGCTTCCGCACCCAAAGCCGACTCCTCCCCACGACCGCGACGAGACCGCACCCTTCAAGTCGGCCATGGTTGCCCGGATGGAGGATTTGGCTAGAGGAGAGCGTATCCTGCCTCCCTGTGACAGGTGCAGGAGGCTAAACATGCACTGTTTGAAGAACCTGACTGCATGTATGGGCTGCACCAAGAAACATGCCAAATGCTCCTGGCGCGATGTCAAGGCAGAAGAGCTTCAAAAGGAGCGGGCTACCAGTCATGACACTAGCGCTGGCAGAGAGAACCACAGAGATGCCAGTGAAGATGCATCAGTGTCTGTATCTGCCGCTGCCCCTGAAGATAGGGGTAAGCACAGTCCTGCCCGAGCTACCACTAATGCTACTACTACTACCACCACTACTACTACAACAATACCAACTGCTGCTGCTACCAATGGAGCTATCAGCAGTAGCAGAAACAACCAGAAACATGATAGAAATGCTAGTAACAGACTCGATGACGATTCTAGTGATGTTCTTGCACAAGCTATCATGGATACCTTTGATCATCATAGACAACGCACTGCTGAGAGAGAGAGAAGCCAGCAGCAGCAACAGCAGCAGCAACAACAACAACAACAGGAGCAACAGCAGCAGCAGAGAGAAAGAGAAAAAGATAGAGACAGAGAGAAGAACCGGGAGAGAGGAAATAGCCACGTTGTTGAGGCTCGATAAAGAAGATACCGCATATCCCCTTGAACCATCTATCTTCGCCATCTTTCATTTCCTCCTTTATAGCTACTTGTTTTTTTACCATTTTTCTTTCTTCTTCTTTTTTATATAGCGAGAGCGTTATGATGTACGGTGTACTTGGTTTTCTTCTTTAGTTTCTGCTTTTTATCCAGCTTCTTGTGAATACATCTCCGTCTCTGCTCATACTCCTTGAAAGCTGGCCTTTGGTTTACTATGTATGAACTACAAACCCAGATCAACTACCGCTACTTCTACTCCTTCAACAATGATAGAAAAGGATCAAACCCCTGTCTTTTTTCTCCCTCCGTCTGATCCGTAATCACTGCGGGGTATGGAACTTATGCATCGCCATATGCATCGGTGTTGGTCGTACAGGAGCTGTTCGTATATAAAAAGGCCAAGTTGAGGGATAGCCGTAGATGGACGGCAAAGCAATATAATTATCCAGCAGACGGAAACAACAATGTCAGACCTCTCAGTAGACAACATCACAGAGCACACTGTGCAAGTCAACTCGCAGTGTCCTGACCCTCGAACCCGCTACATCTTCGAGCGTCTCGTAACTCATCTCCATGACTTCGCCCGCGAAACAAGGCTGAGCACAGCAGAATGGACCAATGCCGTCGAATTCCTCACCCAGACCGGTCAGAAATGCTCGGATATCCGCCAGGAGTTCATCCTGCTATCAGACATCCTCGGGCTCTCGTCGCTGGTAGACTCCATCGACCATCCCAAGCCACAGGGAGCAACACAGGGGACGCTATTGGGACCCTTCCACACTCATGATGCTGAGACGCTGGAGTCAGGTGTTGAGCTCTCGCATGATACAGCAGGGAAGAAGCTGTTTGTCCTCTGTACTGCGCGCGATACCAATGGCAAACCCGTGGCTGATGCCCGGGTTGATGTTTGGGAGGCAGATTCATCCGGGCTGTATGATGTGCAGTATACCAAACGAGAGAGACCGGATAATCGTGGAGTGCTGCATACCAATTCCCAGGGCCAGTTCTGGTTCACGGCCATTCAACCTGTGCCGTACCCGATCCCTGATGATGGGCCGGTAGGAAAGCTGCTGGCCACGCTGGGACGACATCAATGGAGGCCGGCACATATGCATTTTATAGTAGCAAAAGCTGGCTTTGACACATTGGTCACGTAGGTGCTTTCCTTGCATTCTGGTTGCTGCGGCTGTTGAGATATGTGGTGACTTACTAGATGATATATGTGATATATAGAACGCTGTACCCGCGCGGTGACCCGTACGAGAAGTCGGATGCTGTGTTTGGCGTCAAGAGCTCCTTGGTGATTGACTATGGCTCCGTGGACGAGGAGATGGCAAAGAAGTATGGCGTCCCTGCTGGTACGGCCCTGATGAGCCACGACTTTGTGCTTGCAACAGAGCAGGAGGCAAAGGAGGAGCGAGATCGTAATTCCGTGGATGCATTGAAGAAACTGGGGCGAAATGTCAAGATAGTCGATGGCTTGCCTGTCCCTGACGTTGATTAATGGCTACTTTGTAGAAAGGGGTATTTTGACGGTGAACGCAATGAACAGAATGAGTTGGGAATATATGGAAGAACCGACACGCCACATTTCATTAATTTGTAACAAGCTGCATTTATCGAGTGAGTATCAGAGTCATCGGCCCCAAGGAGGAAACCAACGAGAAGAAGAAGAACGGTACAGAGAGGTCCAGGCCAGCTTTTTCAGAACAAACAACAAAAAAGAGACATGAGACAAGCGTGAAACCCTTCCTTTCCTGTCCTCCTGCCCGTGAGCCCAGCTTTCTTCTCCTGATTCTCCATAGGATGGTATTTAGCTGCCAAGTCAGTTGAAAAGACCGGTTATGAATGTCGTATTTCAACGTGACGTCAACATCTTTGTTTTCTTCTTTTTTTCGTTTATATGGTTTTCTTTCCGGTTTTTCCGATTCTGGTCTCGTCTATGCGGCAGTGATGGCTTGGCGGGTTCGGACACCGCGTTGTCTCGATGAGAGTCTGGAGGCGGAGACATCGGTGCTCTTCTGGACAACTTCCTCTCCCTCGGTCAGGATCATCTCAACGTGGCATGGGCAGGACATGTATGGGTTGATCTATGCAGTTGTTAGTACATTGTTCGCACTAGTGAATCGCGGCTTGTGGGTATTGTAGATATACGTACACGGCCGTGGGCACGGTAGGTTCGTCGTCTTTGTTTGGGGGCCTGGTTAACCTGTATGTGCTTGACAATGAGGTTTCCGGTGTCGAGTCCCTTGGTATCGGCGTTGGCTTCGGCGTTCTTGAGCAGAGAGAGGAGGAACTCTGCGGACTTGACGGGCCAGCGAGCTTTGCTGACACCGAATTGCTTGCCTGTCATAAATATTCATCGTCAGCCCTCTAGTTCCCCAGCTATTTTCCAACCATGGCTGGTATTATTTGACATAGCCATCCGTCTCTTTCATTGTCTGAGCTTCAAAAAGTTGCCCCCCGCTATGCGCGCAATCCGTATCTTCCTCCATAGGTCGTCCTATCCAACACAAGCATAAAGGGCAGCACTCACCCTGGGCACATCGTCCGGTACTGCCAGCATATCGTCGCATGGGAACGGCCTCCTTGTGTCCGATCACATTCTCGAGGAAAGTCACAGCACGCTGCAACTTGAGTCCGTTGATGGCCTGAGCGGTCTCACGGGTGTTCTTGAAGCTGGTTCGAAGGTAAGAGCCGCGAGCGCTGGCGCTCTTTGCGCTGGAGGCTGGCTGGATGGCGTAGCGGACCTATACAGTTGAGGAAAAAACACACCCGTCAGCTCGACGTCTTATCTCGTGTCTTTACATCGCAATGCTTCACGGGACGGCTCCAGCAGCAGCAGAAACTGCAGAAGCAGCAGGCGATTCTCATCCGGCAGACGTACCATCTTGACGAAGGACTGTGGGAGGGCGGACGGTGGTGGTTGATGGTGTCGTTGGTTCTTCTTCGTCTTCTTCGTCGCTTTTTTTCTTTCGTTGCTTCGACTTTTCTTTGGGTGAAAATGCAGTAAGCGAGCTTAGTCAGCAGTCGAAGCACGAAGCCCTAACTCTTCCGCCTTTGGACTAGCCTGTTTTAAGGTTGAAGGTACTTAGTCAGCATCCGCCTTAGTCATATATTGGTCATTCTGTATTACTCAGAGTTTACATAATCTGTTGCTTTGCTTGTTCCCAAAAAGGAAAAACAAACATCGAGCGATCGAAAAGAAGCAAAAGCAAACAACAACCGAACATTCGAACGCAACCAAAGACGAGCCTGAAGGTACAGAGTACATTGATACACCGCCGAGAAAAAGGACATATTAAGTGTCATATCTTATTATCAAGCGAGGTGGGCAGTTCTAAGTACGGACAACAATTTGCTAATGTTCAATGGAGCCGCCGTTGCCATCGCTTGATTACCACCATCAATCTGCATGCCATTCTATTATTATTGCTCTGGAATCATCACCATATGCCAAGCTGAAAAAGAAAAGGAAAAGTTCTTTTGCCTTTCACGGGAACCTGAGAAGGAAAGAAAAGAAAAACAGGAAAAAAGAAAAAGACGCAGGCCAAAGGCCGAGGGTCCCCATCCCCCCGTTCCCCGGCCTAGATGTGTCCATGGAATACGTGTCCGTTGTGACCGTTGCGTCCATTATGTCGTCCACTGGTGCAGTTGCCGTTGCCGTTGCACTTGACGATGCTGGTGCTGGCCTGGTTCTTCCATGCATCTCGCTGCTCCGGAATAGGGGTGATCAATTTCCCCGATTGGAGACACGATCGCAGATTTTCAAGGACCAGCAGTTCCATTTCCTTCTGTGTCTCGTATGTAGCGGTTCCGATGTGTGGGAGCAGCATCACCTTGGGGTTATCTAGCAGCTCCGGCTCGATGCACGGCTCGTTCTCGTATACATCGAGGCCAGCCGAACTCACCTGTTGCTCATTATGTTAGTTGGAGGCCCATTTTAGGTTCGTCTTCAATTTTAAGCCTGACTGCATTATAGTGCTTCTTCGTTCCCCTCAATTTTTTCCCTCACTTTCTTCATACCCTGGGGTTTCCTTACCTTTCCAGATTTCAAAGCGGAGACGAGCGCTTTTTCGTCAATCAGCGCCCCTCGAGCAGTGTTCACGATCACCGCCCCGTCCTTCATCTTTGCAAACTCCCGGTGGGAGATGATGTGGCGGGTCGATGCATTGAGAGACAGGTTAAGGCTTAGTACATCAGACTGGGCCAATAGCTGATCAAAGGAGACGTAGGAAGCCCCTTCTTCTAGAGCTGGCGAAAGTCGATTTCGGTTGTGGTAGATGACCCTCATGCCAAAAACTTTTGCGCGGCGTGATACCTCCTACGCATTCCAAAACAAACCGTCTCCATCAGTTTAAACTTCGCAACAGCAAGGGGGAGGGGTTGCTGAAGAGAAATGGAGTACACATACCCTGCCGATGCCGCCCATTCCCAAAATACCAAGGACCTTCATCTGGGGATCATGGCCTAATTTGGTCTTCCCCTGCCACTGACCTAATAGTGTTGTTAGCAGACCGCCTGGTTACGGTAGGTGGGGGGGGGGGGGGGGTGGACTGGTGGCTGAACGCTGCTTACCGGCCCGGATAGCGGAAATCGGAACATATGCCTGTCTCAAAGCGCCAAGCATCAAAAAGATTGTGATATCTGCGGTAGCATTGTTGACGGCAATTGGTGTGCTTGACACACGGATTCCTGCATGCCATTAGCCGGGATGCCCGATAGCCGCCGATGGCAAGGCAATAGCAGAAACCCAAAAATGCAATAGACTGACCTCTATCTGAGCAGGCCGTGGTATCAATATTGTCATAGCCAGCACCATTGTGGCAAATGTATGCTAGTGACTTGGGGAGAGCCCTGACTAGCTCTGCATCAAAGGGCCCGGTAATCTGCGCACAGAAAAGCGGTAACGTTAGCAGGCAGAGAGAGAGAGAGAGAGAGCGTGTGGGTGAGAGGAGAAAAAAGAAAAAGAAAAAGAAAACAGGGTGGCCACGCTAGATCGATCTTGCATTTTCCCCTGGCCGAGTGGCCCCCTTGTCCGGTTATGGAGCGGGTGCACCACGAGGAACACACAGTCAAAAACAAGGGAAAGGAGGATAGAGCATGCAGGGGGATACACACGGCTGTCGATACATTGGACCGATATATGGCTATCACATCATCGTATCTACCATTCTTGCAGTTGGCCAGGAACTCCTGCCTAGATCCGGTTGGGAACTCCTATGTTGAAAGTCAGCTTTTTCTATGAGTATCAGCCAAGGGCTAAGAGAGCAGGCTTTTCCCACAGACCTTGAGGGTTGCCAGCTGCGAAAATTCCTGCCACTCCTTTCTGCAGTGTGTAATGTCTCCAATCAGCAGTACTGACCGTCCTGACGGCATGATCCAGGCCTATCAAGATGAATAGCTGGCAGCAAGAATGGAAGGTGAGCCAGAAAGTGAGAGGAAGCCCAGAACCGAGAAACGAACTCAGGAAAAGTGATGAAAACTGAGAACAGACGATGGGAAGGCTGAACGTGAGAATGAATGACTAAATAAGGAAGGCTAATGCAAGCCGGGAGCGTTAGCAGGGACGATGAGAAAAGCTGAACCCGATGCGAGATTATGTAGGCCCGGAGGTCTGGGGAAACGTCTCAAAATGGACGAGGGTATCTAAATCAGGGAGTGTAGCACTGGATCGCGATTCGCGGAGATTTATATGCACATGCAGAGGCCTTCAGGGGGGGTGAGAGACCGTCTTCACTGCGGCAGCCAGAGGGAGACAGGGAGGGTGGTTATCAGTGCAGGGCGGCTGTGAAGTGACTTTGGTAGATGTAGATAGATGTATAGGAGTGACCGGTACAGGGGGCGGGAAAGAAGGAAAGAAAGGAAAAAAACAACAACTCGCCTGCAGATATCTTTCTTCTCCTTCGTCCTTCGTCCTTTATCTTCTCCTTGTGCTTCTTCTTTTTCTCTTCGGGTGGTGCCGTCAAAGGTGGATTTTATATCTTTGACCGTCTTTGGCTTCTTTCAACTCCTTTTCTTGTTTCAACGTCTTAAGCTCTAGAGACGAGACTCGGCTTCGCTACTTCTCCCGCTGTACCTTAAGAACCAGAAACAAGACTGGGGAGACCGTCTTTTTAAGCCACCAAGGAGATAGCCGAGAGCCGCATGAAGCGCGCCAGGGGAGCAGGAGGCAAGAGAAGCCAACGATGACCAGCATACCAGCTCAACCAACCCCCTTCGGCGCGGGATAGCGAAAGGGACCCAGCTCTAGCTCGAGCGGGATGATGCGGTTAATGATCTCTTCCAATTACACGGCAGCAGGCCATATCCACAGGCGAAGGGCTCCAGTTTTTATTACATGGCCGCCGTTTGGAGGGTGGCACGGCGGAGCAGGCTCCAAGTACCGATAGGGACAGCCAGCCAGACAGGCAGAGAGAAGCGAGACAGACAGATACACGGACACGCAAGACCTTCTCTGTCGTTCCATGCATGGGAGCTGTCGCACCGTCGGCTGGAGGGGGCAGTTGGCCTCAAATGGCTGCACCGCTGGTTGCGCCAACAGAGTTGATATTGCACATATATTACGGCCCCATCGGCAATACTCCGTATGTTATAACTAGTGATCGAAGGAGACAGCACGAGCTACAGCATGCAGCGGTCAGCGGTCAGCGAGTTCGCTAGTTACGGCCTGGATGATCTAGTCAGTTAACCAGCTGGCGGTGCTGCTGGTGGATGTGGCTAGTTATCTAACTATCACAAGACCCGAAGGGATGAAACTGCTGCAGGCTCTCCCCTTGCCAGAACGCGTATACACACACCGTTCGTATACGACGGCTGCCAGGTATAACAAACGAACGCAGGACCTGGCCTGCTCGGGTCTTGATTTTTGCCTCTCGTTGCTTTTTTGCAGATTGGCGCCGATTGTTGCACAGCGTCCCATGCCCGGAGGAAAAAGGCCTGCATCCATTCTAGCACACCGTTACGTATGGAGGGCATGCGAATATACAAGACAGGCAAACGGACCGCGGGACGAGCTCAGACGGGGGCGTTTGACGGCGAAACGAACGCCTCAACTGGGTCTTCCGTCTGGCCGCCCAGGATGGTCCGGACGTACCTAGGTGCCTAGTTACGGCGTTACTGGATACGCTGATCGGATATTCCAGAACTCTGTCGGCAACGGACTATACGCTACGCTACAAGGCCCGTTCTGGACAGCTTTTAACTATGCAGAAAGCTCTCTGGCCTGCTCCGGCTAGCAGGCCCGATATGCAAGCATCCCCTTAGGCGTCATGCACTGGGATAGGATGGACGAAGCCAGTTTTCCGGAGCTTTGTGCTGTTTGCTGGCTGGCTGACTGGCTGGCTGACTAGGGGGGCGATTCCCGGCAGTTCGGCGATTGATATAGAAAGTCGGTATATCGTTATTTATATCTCTCAACTGCAACGGCCGACCAGGGAATATCCTTGCCCTTAATAATCTCTCACAAAGAAGCTGATCCTTGGGAAGTTGGCCATTTATATTACCGTCACCCGTCCAGGCAGCCCAACTACTTACATACTTGCATACATACGTACATACATACGTCCTGTCCGGCTGGGCCCAGAGGAGAGAGCAAGCATGGCGTGCAGGGCTTTAGTGCTTCACGGGGCACAGGATCTTCGGCTGGTCCGTAACCTATACCTACCAGCTCATCTAAAACCCCGTCCGCCAAGTAGTTGTCTTCTCTGACATGCCTCACTGATCAAAGGAAACGCGGCCAATAGCTCCCCCGGCAACAGACGAAGTCCAGGTCGCCGTTCGAGCCACCGGTCTCTGCGGCTCAGACCTGCATTACTATCACCACGGCAGGAATGGGAACTTTGTCCTGCGCCAGCCCTTGGTTCTCGGCCATGAATCCGTCGGTGAAGTGGTTGCCGTTGGATCATCCTCAGACAGCTTCAAGGTAGGGGACCGAGTGGCCCTCGAAGTCGGCCTGCCGTGTCGAAAGTGTCTTCTCTGCCGTCAGGGCAGATACAACATCTGCCGTTCCTTGAGATTCCGCAGCTCAGCTGCTGTTTTCCCCCATCTCGACGGGACGCTGATGGACGTCACCAACCACCCAGCCGCTATGTGCCATCGTCTGCCCGACTCCATCTCAGACGTGCAGGGAGCTCTGCTCGAACCTCTTGCTGTCTGTCTGCATGCGATTAATCGCTCTAACCCGCCAACCGCAGAAGACGTAGCACTTGCTAAGTCCGTCGCGGCTGCGAATGGTGGCGCCGCCCCAGACAGCGAAACTGCAGCGCTGATATTCGGCGCCGGTGCTATTGGCTTGCTGCTCGCATCAGCTCTGGCTATCACGCAGCACTTTACGACTATCGTTGTGACGGATATCAACCAGGCAAGATTGGACATTGCCTCCTCGCTCCCTTTTGGTTGCATCAGGACACATTTGCTTGGTCCCCCTGGCCGAACGGCTACGTCTGCATTCACTCCCGCAACTGCACAGGAGGAAGAAGAAGAAGAAGATATAGCTGCAAAGGACGTGGCGGGTGGCTTACTGCGGAAATTCGGCTACGGCCATGGCTTCTCCCGCGTGTTTGAGTGTACGGGAGCACCGGCCTGTGTACGAGCCGGCATCTACGCTTCCTCGGCTGGTGGCGCGGTGGTACAGATTGGTATGGGCGGTCCTCGGCTTCCATCCATCCCAATGTCCGCCTCGGCGCTGAGAGAAGTCGATCTGATCGGTGTCTTTCGGTATGATGGACGCTGCTATCCAGCCGCTATTGACCTGGCTTCCTCCTCCGTTTTCGGCCAGGTAGCGGAGAAGATCGCCACGCATACGGTTGAGTTGGGAGAGGATGACGGACAGAAGTCGTTTAGGCTTGCTGCTTCTGACAAAGATGATGGTGGTAAGACAGTGGTCAAGGTTATTGTTGTTAGTGGGATGGAGGGAATAGTTCCTTGAGTTAAAATGATACACGACCAAGGCAATAAATAGCTCCCCCGTATATCTAGCATTTATAACAAGGACTCTAAAATCACAATAGAAATACAGAACTAGTGACTATTATACTAGTCGAGAAATGGGCAGAGATGGTGCGGGAACAAGCAAGGGCAATAAACAGGGGGAAACAAAAGAAAAAAACCAAACACGCAGACAGAATGAACAAAAAAGTGGAGGGCGAGAAGATAAGAAGGCCTACTTGAGTCCCCCAGCCAGAAGAATGCTCTGTCCAGTCAAGTAACCAGTAGTCACACACATTTCGACAACGTTGGCGACCTCATCCGGCGTACCGAGTCGGCCTAGTGGAATGGTCCCGGCGACCTCTGGGATTGCACTAGCATCAGGTATCATCCCAGTCCCTCCAATCATGGCCGGAGCAACGTCATTCACGCTGATATTGCACTGTGCCAAACGAGTTGCCAGGTTCTTCATCATGCCCGTCATGCCTCCCTTAGAAGCAGCGTAATCTACCATAGATAAACATTGTTAGCAATAGCTGATACAAAACGACCGAGAAGATCCACATACGGCATCCATTGACTCCTCCTCCATGGGCTGAAATGGAAGATATGAAAACGATCCGACCCCATCGCTGCGCCTTCATATGTTCAACCACGCCCTTGACAAGGATGAAAGAAGCTCGTAAGTTCACGTTGATAGTATGATCAAATTCCTCCAACGAGATGTCCCATATCTGAGGTATCTTTACCCCATATCCGGCATTGGATACAAGGATGTCGGGCAAGCGGCCACCGTGCTCGGCTGAAATTTCAACGAATAGCCGGTTGATCTGCTCTGCTTGCCCAACGTCAACTTGGTGGATAGATATGTGGAGATTGAATGGCGACGGTGGTTGTGGTTGTTTGATGCCCTTGACAACAGCATTCAAGCCATCCGAATTTTTGGAATAAGTTAATGCCAGATGAACATTCCGGCTAGCGAGCCTGCGGGCACAGGCTGCACCAATGCTGAGTGTACGGCATTAACACCTTACCAAAACATAGTCGATGTGGACAAGAAACCCCGACTTACCCGCTTGAGGCGCCGGTGACCAGAGCAAGGCGTCCTTCGATGTCGTTCAATGCAGCCATCTTGTTTGCCTCTTTCCGCCGAAGTTTGTGGGGGCAATGCATATCCAACAACAAACAAGACAGGATGGCTCCATTGATCGGTGGTGATTTATATTTCGGCGCGCGGGATAACAGGGGTGATCGGTTAAATCTCCGGCTAATACTCCCATCTCCCAGGCCGCCACCCCACATGAGGAGAAACAGCAAGGGTAGGGGGGAGTGAAGGGCATAGTAAGGGAGGGGGGAAATGAACTCCAACTCATTTTCAGGGTTTGGGTAAACGGAGGGTGGATCGTGCCGGAAGGGAAACAGAATATTCAAAGCGTATAAAACAATTGGATAGCATATCATTCACGGAGAGGGGAGGCTGTACGACGAGGGATGGTAAGTAGTAAGGGGTGGGAGTTTGGTTCTTCGGCAACGGATCGGATTCGAGGAGGAGGATGGTGAGTGCAGTTGGTCTTGCATGTCAGAACGAAGGGTAACTAGAAAAGAAGCGAATCACTCATCTCTGCACCACCGAGTGTCCAAGCCTGAAATGCATGATCATTACTCTCATCTTGAAGCCACAAGCTTAGGTGATGAAATGGGGCTAGCCCTAGTAGGTTATTAGATGACTGCATTTCGCCCGATACAAAATCGTTAACAGCTTCCAGATCGAGCCAGGAAAAGTCGTTCGCTGGATTGAACGTATTGTTCGGCCCCAGGAGACAGGCCACCGGGCCTTCATGATGCATGGCGTTAGATGGTTGGGATACGTGCACGCCATTCATGCTGATATCATTGTTGCCATTGTTGATGTTGTCGGCGTTGACGAAGATGGTATCGCTGTTATTATTATTATCATTACTGTTGCTGTTGCTGTTGCTGTTGTTGTTGTTGTTGTTGTTGTTGTTGTTGTTGTTGTTGCTGACGCCATTAGTGGTCGCAGGAACGGAAGAGTTGGAGCGCGGTTTCTTTGGCTTCCAGAGCAGCTCCAGGAGATGGGAATAGCGGTAGCCAACGTCGTCTTTATTGGCGCTGGCTTTGCGTAGCGTATCTATCGTGTCGTCTATCATTTTCGTGATCTTTAACTCGTCCGCCTCATTGAGAACACCAAATGAGCGTGCCTGGCGGATGGGATGTTAGTTTTATATTCGAAGATGTAGCAAGCAGCCCAACAGGAAAGGCGTCTAACCTTGTACAAAAAGACGGAAGCGTAGATGCCGAACCTACATTGACAAGGATTATCAGTTTATCTTCTCATTGCTGCATTCAATACTCAACAGGAGGAACTTACAGAATGAATCTCAGGGGCATGAAATGTAGATGTGTCTCTGGGTCGATGTAATTGTTTAATATAGTTAGATATGACCTGGCTGCATCCACGGATTCATAGATAAACCGGGAATCTTGCATGGACGCAACGTTGCTGAATGCAGCCCGTAAACGGTCACGTTGGCTGAGAGTGTCCTCGCCCTTTGGCCGCTGCAGTGCCTGATGTAGTGCCTGGGATATGGCGGCTTGGAAGGCAAAAGCGTTGACGTACAACTTCAGATATTGGTAGGACATCTGAAGCATCACATTGAGGTGCGAGGCGCCTGGGTATGAGTTAGTATCTCGTAAGCATGAATGATGGAGGGAGGAGATACTTAGAAGAAGAAAAAGGCTTACATGGCAATTTCCCCCATAGACGGTACCATCTTGATATAGCAACTCGGAAATCGTCAATGTACTTCACGTAGTCTCCCATGAGCATCATATTGATGCTTGTCCGCATGCCCGAATACAAGACATCGTGGACATTGCCGTATAGCTGTGTGAGATCAAGGATGGCTTGGAATATCTTTGAATAGTCCTCGTCGTCTTTTGATTGAGGCTGCAGGGACGGGAAATCATGGCTGACCAGACCTGTCATAGGCCCGGGCCCTCGAGACCAGAACGCCCGCCCGACACGCACCGATATTTGCCTGTCAGATACATAGCAGCTCGCCCAGACCAGCCGTCTGCGGTTGTCAGATTCGGGGTCTCCCGTGGCATCGTTGTTGCGAAAGGAGGTCTTATCTAGGCCCAGGAAGTAGCCCGACCTCAGGGCGATGCCGACATGCATCCAGGCCGCACGATCCTCCTCTCCACGCCCAACGGGAGCGATGGACGCGCGGAGGCCCTGCGGCTCCCACTCTGCCAGTATTAGGAGGGCCTCGACGGCCTCGACGTCGCAGTCATTACCGGCAGCTATGCCCGTTATCAGCTCGAGCATGTACTTTGAGCAGACCTCGTGGATATGGGGCATTTGGACGAGGTCCTTGGAGGCCACAGTAAGCACTGCGGTGAGCAGGTGCTTCTCCTCCGTGAACTGGTCCAGGTTGTCCGGCTTGAAGTACTTGCGCGGCACCAGGGGAAGATAGCAGTGGAAGTTCTCTGCATAGCGGGTGACAAGCTTCATGACCAGCTCCTGGCTCAGTGACCCGTTCTCGACCAGACGGTAGGTCAGTATCCCCCTTTTTGCGTCGTCTCCGTCGGCATTTGCCTGTCCGCCGCTGCCGCCCGCTGGCCGGGGAGCATCAGTGCTCCGTTTAGCCACGTTGGTGAGCCGCTGCCAGGCATCAGACGGATTCGGCAGCGTGCCAGACCCGATTGCGCTCTCGCTCGTCGAGTCCTCCCCGTCGTCGTCGTCTATCGAGGTGTCCCGGTGCTCTTCTGACGGGCCGTAGCGGTCATGCTCATTGTAGGGACTGATGTAGCTGTTGTGGCTGTAGGTCTCTATGCTCTGCGGGCTGATGGACGCCTCTGGCGGCCGTGGCCGCGGCGGCACCGCAGTCGAGGCTCCCAATGCGCCCCCTGAGGCCTTGATGGTATTCCTGATCCTCTTCCCGCCGCGGTTCGACGTCCCCAGCTCGCACTTGAGGTTCTCATTGTGGCACCGTTTGCAGGGCGGCTGTCCCGGCCGGCCGTTGCTATCCCTATCGCAGCATCAGCAAGAGACATCCAGACATCCAGGCTGCAGGGCAGCGAGGCAGAGAGAGGGAACACTTACAGGTCGCACTTCGACTTGCGGCGGCGGCAGTTGTAGCATGCCCGCGATACGCGCTTCATCTGGCCGCTGGACGTTCGCTTTGGCTTTGGGCTGCTTGTGCCGTTTTTGTACTCGGGCTCGTCCATCTCGACTCAATTTCAACGTCACGTCAAGACTTCGACTTCACGACTCCGACTCCGACTCCGACTCCAACTTCGACTTTGATTTCAACTGATGCTTCTCGGATGCTCCTTAAATGCTCGTTGGATGCTCGTTCAATGGTCTCTCTCTCTCTCTCTGTGCTGGTTTGAGACCCCCCGGTACGGCCCAGCGGACGGAGGCGCCGTCTCAGATCTTTATCCTCAGAAAAGCGCGGTTTGTCACCAACAAGCCACGCCCATCACTCTCTGCTGCTTACTCTGCTTCTAGGGCCGCTCGAGGATGCTATATCTCCTGCTGTGATCCGACTTGGCATGGCTAGGGTAGGGAGTGGACATGACGGGGCAGGGCGAGGAGGACGCGGCTGGATGGAGTAGAGGGAAAGAGGAGGAGAGGAAGAGAGGAAGAGGAAGAAGAAGAAGAAGAAGAGAAAAACGGCGGATAAGAAGCAGAAGAAGAGACGAAAGCGACGGATGGGCGACCAGGTCAGCCTGCAGCAGCATGGATAAGCCGAAATATTGGGCTTGTTTTGATGCCCGCTTCCCCACGCCGGCGCATGTCAGGATGTGAGTGTGTCGAAGATTGGTATCTCACTCACTCCCGTACTGCATGTGTATACATACACTTACGCATGTAACTAGCTCAGCATGGCTTGACCAGTGGACGGCCGGGGGGTTGTCTGCGAATGCGACAGGTCAACTTATCCCTCCATCGTGCGGGCCGTTTGCTGTTGGGGACCGCCTGGCTGGTGACGGCTGTGCCCCATGCTGGCCTCGTCTGCTGGGACGGGCCATATCTCTACCGCTCTATGGGGACGCTCTATATCTGCGCCGCCGTCCTGCTATGAGCTTGCACCTCCATCTCCAGCTACATCCACATTTACGGCAGATAACTATCTAGACACTCGGACATCGAACACGGACAAGCCCAACTATAATATCGTGGGAAGTATAAGGGAAGATGCTTGCTTTTTCACGCTTGGCTGCCGTTTATTTGGCAATAGTCTTTGGCGGGCTTCTGATCGCTCTCCTTTTCCCGTTGCTTTTTTGGCCGTCTTTGATTGAGCGCGCTCTGCGTCTCCATGCGGTTTCCTCAGCGCAACCAGGAGATTTTGAAAGATGGGACGATACGAATGCCCGATACGAGGATGGTAGCCTGGTGGATGAAGGGTCCATTGGACGCAAGATGCGGTTATCCGCCAGTCATTTCGTCAGGATGCGCCCCCTTGGTCTCGTCAGGCTCCTCCCGTCTCCTCTTAGTTATATTCATACCTTCGTTATATGTATAGGATGTTTGCTCTGCAGACGCAGTTGGTTGCTCTGAAGACACTTTTTATATATATTTATATAATAATATCCACAGACCAGCCGGGGGTCGAACTCTCCGCAGCCGATTCCACATCGACACCTCTCCAACACACTAGATGTAAACGGAGCAGAGCTAGCCGATGGCAAAGGCAAACGGACACATCGACTGCTGACAGGTCCAGCCTGAACCACAATTCCTCAACACGCCAACGAGTCCTTCAGTTCGCATTTCAAACAACCTCGCAGATCGGCATGCGAGGGGGCCATGTCTATCATCTGCTATCCATCGACGTGCGTGCTCCCGTTTTATGAGATAGAACAATATGATATCTCGACAATTCAAGACTCGTCTCGTCGTGTGTTTACCGAATAATATCAACAAAGTCTGCCATCAATAGCGCCGGGACGATCGCCCGACTTTTAACAATGCTTTCGTTTTTCGCCAACAGCTAAGCATACTAATTGCATCCCGGTCTATTGGGCGGACCAGACCGGGGGGATGTTTGTGTGCCTTCCGTTTGCTCTATGGCCAAGGTGCGCGTTTGAACTTATGTGCACTCCCGTACCGCTGTCTCTGGCCTTTTTGGGTCTGGGGAGGGGATTGCATACTTTATCTTTCATGCACGCACGGCTGCGGTCGCGATATCGACTTACTTCATGTGGAACAGTGGCCTGGTTGCTGGTACCATACACCTATAGATTTACATGGTCTATATGTACTCCGTATACCAGGGCTCGACCCTCATGGATGGATGTACTACCGATGACTATTTGTTGTTATACGCCCTCTTCCAACCACACATTTCCCTTCTCAAACGGCGACCCCGAATCACAGCTCGCCTAGAACCTCCACATATGTGGTAGTGAAAGTACGCACTGGCTCCCGGGTTGTCTGCGTCTAGTGACTGTCACGCAGGCCATCATTGTTACATGGCTAGGATTCACCTGTAATTGCCGTCAGATGCCCGCGATATAGCCTGCAGGGTGTCCAATAAGTCACCAAACCAAATCTCGCCGCCTAAAGAGAAAAGGAGCAGAGATCTAGGGAAGAAAGGCTCGACTCACTAATGGCCGATCGTGCGACTCAATTTTCATTCTTTATCTACAGAAAAAAAGGGCTCCCATGTTGTCTAAACATCAACCCTTGAACAGTCAACTGCCGGGGCTAGTAAAACATGTGCCTTGCATACCACTGGCTGTATGAGAATACGATCAGAGAACTGTTCCATTTCTTTGACACTTTTGTTCATTCATCCTTTTGCTGCTGTGAAAGCTGATCATCGACTGATCACACCTACTATTCGATGAACATCTCGCATGCAATATGCAAGGCAGGTGTCGTCCTTCCTCTTTTCCTCTGCAGAAACACATCCATACTTACCTTGGCCGTATTTCTGCCGTTTCTTTCTTGTACCGTTATGGATGGTCGGTCTTGGTATGACAGATCAGCGGGCTTTGTCCTTAATGAAGGAGGAGGAGGAGGTGTGAAAGCTGAAGAATATAAGGACTGGTCGGTTGCTTGCAGGTTTTGAATACGGAGTATTCCAAACAGGTATCCATCCGTCCATTAGCCCTTTCTTCAAGCCTTCGAGCGGGAGCTGGTAGTAATATGGATTGATGCAGGATGTCAGAAGGTCATGCAGGTTTCCGTCTGCACATATGGTCAATACTATGGGTGGCTCCTTGACAGCCTTGACAGTCCATTCCGGGCGCTGTTGCTGGCTTTCTTCAGCTTCCGTCGACCACTTCCTCATCTTGTTGTACTCTGCTTGTGTATATATACATACATATATATACACAATTGGAGGCAGATCCCAAGCGACGTACCACCAGTCAACGCATCAGTGAAACCAGCAGATACCCCACCGAGATTCATACATCTGTACTAGTCGAGATGAAGTTGCCCAGCAGGGCTGTTAATCTTGATTGAATACCTGGTGTACTGATGCTTGAGTGGTCCCGGGTGTCTCCTAGGCGATACCGAGTGGCTTCACCATATCCCAACAGCACTCCATTCCCTCGCTTTCACTTCACCATGATCTCGTCTCCTTTTGCTCCTCTCTTCTTTAATCGTCCTCACCTCGATATTGATGATGACTAAGGATGATACAAGGTTATTCCCGCGCCCAAAGAGGAAGTTCGGTAAAGTCCCGGATATCAAAAAGCCGAAGCACGCAAAATCAGTCGCAGCAAACAACAAACAACGAATTGAACAAACGAGCTGGAGATAGGTATAAATAATAGTTATCAGGCAGGGCTAGGGAGAAAGTAGCCAGCGGATAGTGTAGACGATGGCAACAGCGAATGTACTCTCGCTCTTCTCGTTGCAGGGCAAGGCTGCCTTGGTGACTGGGGGATCCAGGGGCATCGGGCGAGCGATGGCCGTCGGCCTCGCAGAAGCTGGCGCAGACATTATACTGGTTCAAGTGTGTCACTCCCAGTGTATGCTTCTTTAGTCTATGGTGGAGATGGTGCCCGATGTGACGATGCTAACTAGTCTCGCAGCGAGACGCCAGTAACACGCAGACACGAGACGAGATATTGCAAAGGACAGCGGGCAAGTCAAAAGTGACCATCCATGCGGCTGACTTGTCCGACCGGGCTGCGGTGGCAGCGATAGTCACCAGCGTAACCGGAGATGGCACAGCGGTAGATATCCTGTTGAACTGTGCCGGCATTCAGCGGCGACACCCAAGCGAGGCGTTCCCGGACCAAGACTGGGATGAGGTGAGTTCCCATAGTTAAAATAACTACATATAAAATGAGAAAACGAGACAAGATATAAACACTATGACTGACAACGGCGAGGGTGGGAAACCAAAAGGTCCTGGAAGTGAATCTGTCGGCGGTATTCACGCTCTGCCGCGAGTTTGGGGCCTACCTGCTCTCGCGCGGTGCCTCCGGATCGATCATCAATATGGGCTCTCTGCTCTCGTACCAAGGGGGCATCACCGTCCCCGCCTACGCAGCATCCAAAGGGGGCATCGCCCAACTCACCAAGGCGCTCTCGAACGAGTGGGCGGCCAAGGGCATCCGGGTCAACGCCATCGCACCAGGCTACGTCGACACGGACATGAACACGGCACTCATCCAGGATCCGGTGCGGAGCGAGTCGATTTCGGCTAGGATTCCGGCCGGACGGTGGGGGAAGCCGGAAGATTTCAAGGGCATCGCCGTGTTTCTGGCCAGCGATGCCAGCGCTTATGTCTCAGGAGAAATGGTCAACGTCGACGGCGGTTGGATGGGCAGATAGGAATCTGAATCAACTTATGGCCCTGGGACTCCCTGTTGAGAAGGAATACATACATATATAAGAGAGACTCCGGGGGTGAGCAGGGCAGGCTTCGTCGCTGTCAAGTAGTTACGACTGCCAATGATCAACCTTACCCCACTCCATATAAGTATATATCGACTCTTTTTGTGTATCGTTATATAAATAAAGTCTGGTCGACAACTACTAGTCGGCCCCTTGACCAGCGCTTCGATGTTTCATGCACCCTTGCCTTGGGTCTCTCTCGTCCAACCAGGCCATGTCCATCTTCAGGGGCTGAATCCCATCGCCACGCCTATGCCCGACATCTCCAGATGCACGGAGTAGACTTTTCTTCTCCTTCAGCGTAAACATTTTCTGCTTTCCTTCAAGATCCCTCTCAGCCAGTCACGTCATGATATTGCCTCTCCCCTGCATCCTGTTGCCGTTTCAGCCACGGTTCCTGCGAATCGCCTGCAGGAGAAGCCAGAGAACCGCCTCCCAGCGCCGCCCGCTGTGGGTTTCGCTCAGCGCCCAAGTGGATACAGCGCATCTTGGAGCGCTGCTGTCTCTTCCAACCATCTGGCTAAACGCTCTGTTGTCTCTGGCGGACTGACCTGCGCTAAGATACCTTTTGAACGGCTCGAGCTGGTTGGATATCTGCCCTTCGATGGAGCGGGTTTGCCTTTATACAATATGGATATCTCCCCCCCTTTTTTCTTCTTCCTGTGCGACATATGGGCTTGGGAGTTGTATCTTCTCTTTCTTAAACATCTGAGCTGGTCTCTGGAAAGACAGTCAATCTCTTGCCACGCTCCTTTTGGCCTGTCTGATTGCACACAAACAGTCTCTCTCTCTCCTGTTGTGTGCGGGTTGTCAATAGGATCTGCCTCTATTGTCGACTGTACATTCATTCAATAGCTACTTCTGCTGGCCAGGACAGGACAGGACAGGACAGGCTCAAAAAGAAAAAGCTGCTGAGCAGTTGTAAGTACCCCCTTTCTACTCTTCTAAAGTAGCTTGCTGATATCATGGCCAGAAAACACTCCCTTTGCACCCTTCTGGACGGCTATTCCAGACACTCCTTTAACCAACTTGGACACTCTTTTATTTACTGTTCACGGATTGTTCACTGTCACTTGGAGCCGCTGGTGAAAGCAAGTAGAAAAAGAAGTTGATATCGCTCTTTTCTTGCCCTGCTTGCTCTACTTCTACTTCTACATCTACTACTACTTGTTACTTCTCCGGCACCGAATATCTCTCCTGCAAACGTCCAACTCTCCTTGTGCCTACGCTGGATTTGATTTGATACTCCAGCTCCATCTGTCCATCTTGGTCCCACGGCAAGACCGCAAATCATGGAGTTAGTTCTCTTTGCCCGGGAGCTGGCTGCTCCTCACTCGCAGAACACGACCTATGTATCACCATATACTCGAGGGCTTCTCGGCGTCCGAGTCAATCTCGACCATCTCGTCACCATCCTTGTTGCTGGCTCCATCGGGGTGGCCTGTGTGGTCATCCTCATTGTCCGTTTCACGCAGATGTCCCATGCATATCTCCGTCAGGTCACATCAGCCACCGGCAACAACAACCAGCAGCGCTTCTGGGGCGCCGAGCAGTCGACCTTATGGTCAGATATCAAGAAGCATGTCCTCTATGCACCCCTGGGAAGCAAACGACATAACCGCGAGTTCAAGCTGTCCGAGGCTGTCAATGTAGGCACTCTGCCCTCCAGATTCCACACAGTGCTGCTGGTATGCTACCTCCTCAGCCAGGTGGCGTACTGCTCGGTCCTGGATTATAGCGCCAACAACAAAGCCGCGCTGGTCGCTGAACTTCGAGGCCGTTCTGGAAACCTGGCCCTCCTTAACATGATCCCCCTGTTTATTCTTGCTGGTAGGAACAACCCGCTTATTCCGTTGATGCGTGTCTCCTTTGATACCTACAATCTTATCCATCGGTGGCTTGGCCGCATTGTCATTATCGAATCCATTGTTCATACTATTGCATGGATGGTCAACGCCGTGGCTGCAGAAGGGTATGCAAAGATGTGGCATGGTGTCTGGCATGAGCCCTTCTACACCTGGGGCTTCGTTGCAACCGCAGCCATGGTCTTCATTCTCATACAATCTCCCTCGCCCGTGAGACACGCCTTCTATGAAACATTCCTTCACCTGCACCAAATTGGAGCCATGGTCATCGTCTTGGGCATCTATTTCCATCTGGATATCGACGGCCTCCCGCAACTTCCTTGGTTCAAGGGCATCATAAGTCTCTGGGCTATCGAGCGTGGTGCTCGATTCTTCCGAATCCTCCGCCTCAATGTGTCTCGCCGCAACGGACTCACGCGTGTAGTAGTCAAGGCACTGCCTGGTGAAGCCAGCAGGGTAACCTTCTACCTCCCACGACACACGAAGATCAACCCCGGTAGCCATGTCTACGCATATCTCCCACGTATCTCCTTCTGGATGTCTCACCCTTTTTCCGTTGCATGGGCTGAACAAGGCTCTAGCTCGCTCCCCAAGTCGCCCAAAACCGACAAGTTCAGCGATTCATCTAAGTCCTCCCTTGCTCGGAAGGCATCCACCATGACCACCTCGTCTAAATCTTCCTCACCAGACCTCGAGAAGGGTCATGCCAGAAACACTGCGCTTGCCACAGACGATTCCCTGCCAACTTGCGTCTCACTCATCATGGCCGCGCGTACCGGCATGACCCGCAAACTGTACAATGCCGCACTGGCCTCGCCAAATCTCACGCTCGAAACGACGGGCTTTATTGAGGGGCCCTATTCCTCCCACCCTTCTTCATTTGGCAGCTATGGCACTGTTGTACTTTTCTCTGGTGGCGCGGGTATAACCCATCATCTGATGCATGTCCGTGACCTTCTCGCCGCTGCCGACGCCGGCACAGTAGCCACCCGCCGCGTATACCTTATTTGGTCTGTTCGTACGACCGAGCATCTTGCCTGGGTCCGTGGTTTTATGGATTCCATCCTACACATGCCCAACCGCCGGGATATCTTGGTTACCAAGCTCTTTGTTAGCAAGCCCCGAAGCCAGCGTGAAATCCAAAGCCCAAGCACGACCCTTCAAATGTTTCCTGGCCGATGTCGACCCGATGTAGTACTTGAAGAAGTCTTATCCGACCCAGTTGGCGCTACAGGTGTCAGTGTTTGCGGCCCTGGTGCTTTTGCAGATGAGGTACGTTCCAGTGTGAGGAAACGGATTGGTGCGGGACAGGTTATCGACTTTGTCGAAGAAGCTTTTACCTGGTGATTTCTAGCTCGTTATCAATAACCTAAAAAAAAGGCCCGAGCCATTTACTCTTTTGCTTAGGTGTTCGCGGGTGGGTGTTTTTGCTTCTTGTATTTAGTTAGCCCCTTTTCTATGATGATATCCCTTACCAGATTCAAGGGTTTATATGGTTGGATAGGCCCTCCAGATGACGTGACATGACTTCAATTCAAGATAAAATATCAAGCTCCAATGTATTTATTCAAAGGTTCCCACAATGAGCCTCAAGTGCTACAAAAACGCTCCAAAAAATCAATTTATAGACGTATCAAAGAGCTATGTTGCTCATTTAATAATACCTTGGGAACGGGTCAATGTCAAACAAACCAACGCTATATGGTAGTGTATATTAAATTAAGACAAAAAGGAAACTTAAGGGGGAATAGGGGATTGGGAAGTATAAAACACATAACAGGTCGACAAGGCGGATTTAATAGAGTGTGGTAACATAAGTTCATCGTCTCATATATGAGCCGATGGAGGATTAGACTGCTTCTTTTCAGGACTCGGTTCGGGCGCTATAGCTAAGGCCTCTGAAGGCCCCGGTTTGGTGTTGTCGAATAAGCTGAAGTCCGACCCAGAATAGTACCTTCCTCTTTTCGTGGATTGAGTAGGTTCATCCGGACGATTGGTATGGATCGTAGCACTCGTCCCGTCTGGTTCAGTGATTCGACTGACCCTGTTAGATTCGAGGCCCGAATTGGCGTCCGTTGCGAATTTATCGGCAAACGGGTTCTCCACCTGGAATTCATTTGGGTTATACTCCCACGAAATAGGCGGTGCAGCAACTGCGGGAGCAATGTGATTGTCATTCCTTGTTTCCAGGTGCTCATTATCTAGTTCTAAAGCTCCACTGTCATGGGATCCATGCACCTCTCGGCTCTCTATCAGAGGCTGGTTATTTAGATGGGTTCCTGGCGGTGACACTGGAGGAGAAATAGGTGCTCTTTCTACGTCTGTTGAATGGACAGGTGGTGTGTATAGCGTGGGTTGCTTTGCCTCATTTCGAACGGGGGCTTGTTCGGAGGATTGTTTGGAGAGCTTCTTAGGCATTCGCGGCATGGATAGTCTGGGTATATATCGTTGTTTTTTTGACTGACCACGTTCAAGGGCTGCATCTCCCGTAGGCAATGCACCGGTTGCCTGTGGGTGGGGCTGTCCATTTCTGTAGTCTTGATTCCCATGGCCATTGCGTTGGTTGTGATCGGGGATACGGTCGATCAGGTACTGAGCTTGCTCATCCTGTTCGTCTGGAGACCTGAAGCCAGCTTTCCTTGCGTCTAGGGTTACGCGATTATATCTAGACAGTGCAACAGAGATCTTATCATTTGTCTCGATTAGGGTGAGCATTGTGTCTTCATCAGGGGCTGGGTTTGAAGAATTGATATAACCCTGCACAGATCTAGACGCTGACTGGCAACGGGTCGCGAATTCTTTAATCATCTCGTTGTGGTAAAATTCAGATATAGGTGTAGACATTAGCATCTGCTGAAGTAGTTTTGCAGATTCATTAGCCTCATTAACCCGTGCAGCAAGCTCGCCCGGAGGAGGAAGGCCTCGGAGCTTGTGTTGACGAGAGAAGTAGTCTTGTCTCTGGCCAGCATGCAGGCCGGGGCCATGGGGAGACTGGTGAAAATTAGTATATTCCTTATCTTTTGTATAATGGACAAGAAATGGGCGTTGCCAAACATACCTGGACCGGCGGGCTTCCAAACGGTGGATACCCATAAGTTCTCTCAAACTTCTCTTTCTCCTTGGTCCACATTTGTATTAGTCCCGAGAGATTTCTGTCGTTCGCTTTTGTTGTCGACAGCGTCTCTAGTGTCTCGCGCAAAATCTGCGCAACATTCATGTCTCGTCCATCTCGAAGCAAAAGCTTGACAGATGATGTGAACCGCGCGTCAAGATTACAAGTGAAAGATGTACCCGGGTTATCAGCCAGTATTCGTATTAACATAATCGCATTGTACTGCCGTCGGGGATGCGAGGTCGCTGGTTTCGAGAGATATTTATGAATCTGGTTTGCGGCGACTTTCGCGGCCGCAGGGCTCGATTCGGCAGCTTCGACGATCGTGGGAAGTGGTAGGAAGTCATTGTCCTTGAGAATAAGTCAGAATAAATGTGATTACGGTCATATGTCCGGGTAGCGCGTACGTTATTTGCATCGGAGTTTTCGCAAAACAGAGTCTGTAGATAGGTAAATCAGTCAGTATCTGTCTGTCTCTGAGGTAGAAGATAAGGGGTTCAAGCTTACCACCGCCTTGAGGACTGCAACTTCAGGGGGATCATTAGGCTGAGCGGCACCGAGACCTCCAAGAGCTAGTCATTTCATCAACGCAGTCAGATTGGGAAAGAATCCGCCGTGTGAGGTAGGAAACATACAACTGTTCCGCTTACTGGTAATGGTACCAATAAATCGTTTCATGGTTAATCGCTGCTCAGCTATTGTCAGCGGCTTTCTCTAGCAACTGACCGACCGCGTGTGAACAAAGCCGAGTGAAAAGGAGGCGAGAAGGAGGTTGCGAAAGGTGAGGAACGGAGGAAGTGAGTCGGAAGACGGAGCCCAGCGTCAAAGGGGGGCGAAGTACCCTAGCGCAGCAGGGTCTCACAGCAAAGGCGCAAGGATGGTCTGCTTTATTAACATAATGTGCCTATCAACGGCCGGCGTTGGTGTCGCTGGTCGTTGTCAATATTGACTACTAAGGCTCAGGAACGGGGATCAACCCAACGGTTCTGCTCGTGGCGTAAGAATCTTGAGGCTCTTCTGCAGAAACACTTTAAATGATACGGAAAAGAGAATCCCGTATGAAGGAGGCTACAAGCACGTTTTATAACGCGCTGATAGACATGGATCTGGCTCCATCAAGAAGGCTGCGACTCCCGGATGGCGTTTCTTGTTCCTATCCGAAGTTATATTCGCCAGAGCTAACGTTGGCAAAGAATAACTAGCTAACTAGCTAAAACGCAAGCAGCCGATCCGCAACCCACGTCTTCATTTCTTTGATAGTCATTAATATTCCGTCGAAATTTCAGAATTGGTGCGTGCGATTCCTCAAGCGGTGAACCTGGTGACGTAGCCCAATTTCTTAGCTCGAGTGACTGACGCGGCAGAGCTAATGGCAGCATCAAAGATATCAGGAAAGTGTCCATACCAGTACCGGTACAGTACACCCACTTCTTATCGGCGCGGTTGCTCAAAGTCCTCGACAAGCTTGCCTGGGCGCTCAGCCACAAAGATGACAACGCTTACTCCGTAGAGCAACCATAACCTCTACAGGTACTCCGTAGTTAACAGGCCAACAAAATCTCGATGTGGATGAGGTCTCGCGTGGTGGCTTGACAGTTGTCGATCCTGCTAGTGATTCGTAGACAAGGATAACTTGTTGCTCCATAGTTAACCCTCACATTGACAGATCTCCTGCTAACGGGTCTCCGCGTTGTGTCGGCCATGACCACGAAGTAGATGACGGTATCAGGCAAAGGAGGCAGAATCCCACCGAGGTAACTACTGTAGCAAAGAATAAACCAGCCTTGGTCATAGCTGAGGACGCTGTTAAACTATTCGCGTTGTTGAGCAGCTAATTAATAGATAGTTAACTAGATAGTTAATAGGAAATGTTCTTGCTTAGTGGTTGAAGTTGAGATTGAGGTTGAAAGTAAAATAAGCAGTGTGACCGTGCTTTTATTTCCTAAACGGGATGAGGTTATTTGGACTTCAACTTCAACTTCTGCAGAGAAGAAAATCTCGAAGGTAGAAAAAGGATATGAAGAAGCGAAGAAGGCTCACAACTGATTAACTAACTTATTTAACTAGTTAACTAATTGATTAAGAATATTGGATTACAATTGACCTACGATGGAAAATACACAGAGAGAAGTGCTTTTGAGTACCTACGCCGCCGAGAAGGTATCTAGTACCTTGAGATATCCCTGCCAAACACCCAGTTTGAGATCCAAGAATACAAGATCCGTAGTCTGTTGCGCCAACTGATGCTCATTGACAGATAGGCACCTTTCCACACGAGCCAGGCAGCATAGCCAGTCAAACCCTGGGGCAGAAGAGAAGCCTTGCCCTTGTCCTTGCCGGTCTGCGGGAACTGCATTAGCGCTCTCGAACGGCCTACATACGCTATCATGCCTAGATTCCTGAAGGAGAAGCCAGGAGACCGCGACAGGCCGGCGTTGGAATCGGCTGCGTTGAGGCATCGGGCAAGCCAGAGGGCTTCCTGGTTGGCAGACTGCGCCGTTGCAGGCGGTGAGTTTGTTTCAAGCATGCAGTTGTCACCAATGGCAAATACATCCTTGAGTGTGACTCTTTGGCCATCGTTCGATTGGAGCTGAATGCGAAGGTGGTCATCGACCAGTAGAGCACCTGTATTTTTGGCTTTCCTCACATTCCATGTCACTGCAGATTGTGGAGATTGCTCTGCTGGGATATGATCCATTCTCTCCAACACAGACGAAGTTGGCAACACTCCTACTTTACCAAGGGCATCGTTGACAAACTCGTTCATCTCGTTGCCTGTCGCCCAGACACACATTGCGATGCCTTCTTCCCCATCTTCCTTCGTCTTTATAGTTAGACAACCCTTGGGATCCATCGCATGTGGACCGGGTGCATCAGGCTCACCCCATCGAAGACTCTCAATGTGATGGTTTGTCTTGACATCTACTCCCTCACGTTTCATGGTATCCATGGCATATTTTGACAAGGACTGATCGAACGTACTCAGAACTGTTGGTGCAACGTCAAAAAGGGTAATACGAATCATCTCTTTCAGTTGTGGATAAACCTTTACCAAGTCTTCATGGATAAAATCACAAAGCGAAGCAGCCATCTCAATCCCTGTCGGCCCAGCACCCACAATCGCAAAATGCAAGAGGTATCTCTGCATCTGAGGGTCTGTGTTGGGTAGAACTGCCAATTCAAAGCATTCTCTGATCCGCCTTTTCACTCGTCGAGCGTCCCCAATGTCCTTGAGGAAGAGCGCATTCTCTCTGACTCCAGGAGTGTTAAAGGTCTTACTGACGCACCCAACGGCGACCACAAGCTTATCATAAGGGACTATGATTTTTTCCCCGGATTCCCATGGCCTGTCAGCCCCACCTTCGCACCTATACATAAGCCGATGTTGCTTTTCGTGCTGATGCTGCTCTACCCTTGTTGTCTCCGTTACGCCGCTGCGAACCACACTGGCTTCACATGTGACCGTCTTCTTGTTGAAGTCGACGGCTCGTGCAGCCGCCTGGACAAAGTGGGCTTTGGTATAGCGATCTCGGACCGGTTCGACGATTTCAGAGAAGTCAAGCGACCCAATGGCGGCATCAGTAAGTAGAGGCGTAAAGACGAAGTACGATCGGGGCGATATGACTGTGGGGGAGAATTTAGTGGCCGACAATTTGCGGGATAGAGTATATCCGCCCCATCCCGAGCCCAAGATGACTACTCGCTCGGCCGCTGTCGAGGGGTTTCTTGTTGGCCGTGCTGGAGAGCCTCCCGTGGAGTTCCCTGTCAGTGTTGCAAAGCGCCGAACATGCTGGGGTTGCCCGACCTGGGTCGGCGGACGGGAAGCATATCGGAAATTAAGCCGTATCAGTCTCATCTGATAGCCTCGTTTTTGAGCCGGTAAAAAAGGAGGTGCATGAAGAATTTAAATGAGCAATCTCGATGTCAACCAATATATGCCTTGCTTGAGGGCGAGGGCTGCCTCGGACCGCCCGGCGTTCAATCCCGCCGCATAGGCTCAAACATCATCGAAACCAACTATAACAAGAAAGCCAAACTTGAAATTCTAGCAGGCCATGTAGTCATCATGCACGCGCCCTTTGAACCCAGCCTCCGAACCCGGCCTCAACATCTTGCAGGACCGGGCTCAACAGAACAAGTTCAGACATCTCTGGGAAGTGGCACCTCCATCATAACACAGATTGTTTTGTTAATGGGCTTGACAGGCTTGCGTGTTCACATGCAAATGCTCTACCCTATAGCAGCGGAATCAGGGCCACCAGTAAGTCCCACAACTCTAATACTGGCGCCGAGCCACCAAGCGCCCAGCATCATGATGCTTTTTTGCAGGGGTTACAAGAGGCCTTCACTAGTCAAAAGAATTGTGTTGCCTGAATCTGCAAGGTAGCGCCCGTTTACCGCCAGGGTCTGATTTCTCATCGTGGCCAAGTAACAAACGCTGTGCTCCGTTCTGAGCAAGTCGAGGTATGTTTGTCTGGCTGTGATTCGTTATGACCTTTCTTTTTCCTCTTCTGGTGACGAGTATGTTGATGGCGCTGTCCGCATGTCTACGCAATAATGATTCCACAAGCCCGCCTTGTGCCTGGCGGTCTCTTGTCCAGATGCAGCAAGTGCCTATCAGGTGGATTCCTCCGGGTACGGAGGGGGTTCCAATGTGGCCTCTGAACATACATGCCTAAAGAAATATGCCCGATGAGAGAGGGTGTTTGGGGCGCCTGGTTACGGAGTACATATAAGCTTTTGCGCGAAACCTCTGGCGTCTTGCTATAAAGGTCGAGAGAGCACCCGCCGCATATATAGGCTGCTATGATATCTCATTTGTACACACCAGCCAGCACTCTATCTCGAACTGTCCTTATATCTGCCCTAACTACAAATTGGCTACTTCCACGCTGTTGACTACTATTACCCCTACAAAGAACATCGTGAATTGACATCATGGCTTCGATGTACTTCCAAGACACCTCCACCCGAGTCTGGGACTACCTGGATAAGATGGACGCCGACTGGGTTCACGAGCCATCCATCATCTCTGATAACAACTTCAACTCTGGAGAACTTACCTGGGGAGCTCAACTCAGCCACTACCCAAAGCAAAAGCCAGCATCGACCCGCCACCATTCGTTGAAGAGAGATCCCAGTGACGCTTCCAATGGCTACCGACGCGAGTTCCTCTCCCGCCGTGACAGAAGCGCCTCCGGCTCCAGCTTCAGCTCCACGTCTACCAGCTCGAGACTGAGCTGCAACATGTCCAGTCATGAAGGCTCAGCAGACTTGAACTCCGTTATCCAAAATCTCAGCTCCCAACTCGGTTTCGACCTGAACGAGACATTCAACTGCGCAAAGCAATACAGCAAGCCTGTCAAGTCGCCCAAGACCATGTCGTCATCCGCTCGCGTGGTCGCTCCTCCAAATATCAAGTCTACAAAGACACCCAATGTTCGCCACGAGTTTGCTTTCCAAATTCCTTATGCGCATAAACCTGCCACCACTGTTGAATACGACAGTATGATGTCCGCCCTAAATACCCCTATCAAAGCTACGAATGCGCCTGCAAGTGTCGATGCAATCTACAAGACTGACCATAAGAACGCCGGAGCGAAAGAAGTTGGTATAAAGAAGATCAAGAGCGCGCGTAAGGTGTCCTTCGCCGAGGTTGTTCAGGAACTCCCCATTGTGGCCGAGGTGGAGACGGAGCCAGAGCAAGAGCCAGAGATGATCATCGATGGGGGAAGCGACAGCGAGAGTGACGGTGATAGTGTTCCCGAGGCAGTATTTTTGAATGTCTCGACATCTATGCAGGGTGCACCTCGTGTTCGACATGTGGAGATCAGAGACGCTGAAGAAGAAGAGAGCGATTACATCAAAGTCTATCACTCCTGACCATACCCTCAGTTAATCATTCTGTACTGACACGCGCCCTACGACTTTCTCACTTTTTTTATACTCGTTTGATTAGTTAACCAGCCACTTCGCTTCTTGATTCCCCCGATTAGTTAGGTTATTGTTTTCAGATCCGTGATTCTCATCCCGTTTCAGTATCTATATTTTGGTTCAATTGAAACTTTGAATCGTTTATGAAACTCTGCCTTACTTATGCCTCCATCTCTTCTAACGTGTCGATCCTCGTATATAAAGAAAGGAGAAGACTTGAAACTGGAAATATGGCCCGAGGCGGCGATCATCCCTACCTTTCTACCCCGTGTTAAGCGTACCCGCACAGATCTTCTCGGCGTGGCTCGTTATTTCTCGCCGATAGGACTGCAGCGTTGATATCCCTGACCATGTAGCATCTGCATTAACAAGCCTTCGCGCTGAGATACATATATGTCAAAGCGGTTGACTGGATGTAACGCTCGTACAATATGTATGGGAGCCTTTCCTCGGGCTACCGGACGCTAACTAATTGACTACGGGCAAGTCAGCAAGTTAACTTCCGTATGTTCTCCCGTCGCGGCTCTATGCCTGGTTTAGTCCATGATCGTCTGGTTGAATAATTATCAATCCTGGCCGGTGGACATATAAACGGAGGACATATCAGACATGAATCTCACTGGAACCGGCTACTGTTCATTATGCCTACCAGTTGCTACATTCTCCAGAGAAGTTTTATACCCTTCCCATTTCATCACGATAGATATCGAGAGTGCAGGCAAAAACGGCAGCGGCGAAAATTATATCCTGTTCTTGGGAGTAACCACTCTATACTGGAATATCAGTTCCAAGGCGCATCGGAATCTCTCTTGTTGTCTGTCTCGCAACATTGCGAATATATAAGCCTTCTTTGATACCCACAGCCCAAGCTTTGTCTAATACGCAGAAAAAGATAACCAACGCAGCCTTAACAGCTCCAGAGGCCTCCCATATGGATGATATCCAATGAGTCTAGCTATGGATTTTAACCCCTAAAGATTAGCAGGATGTATCCCGCCGCTGGTAAGGCTTCTGGATCGCCGTCTTCGTTGATATTGCGGGATGACGGCTAAGACATGGCAAATTTACAAGCAGATGGCAATAATCCACACCATGGAAACATGACATGTGGCACATTGCTGTCTCTGATAATACCCTGGGCCAGCCTTGTTTCTCCAACTGGGCCCTCTCGTCAACAAGCCAAGTTTGAAGTTCGCAAGGCTCCGACCCTTTCGGACACCTGATTTCACTCGTCTCGGAGCTAACATGCTACAATTAGCTAGTTTGATGCCTTATCAACCCTTAAAGTCCCGTTTTAATAACCATAGGTATCGGTCTGATATTTGGGTATTAGCATGGTTTTCCCTGACCAAACGTCAGCGGCAAGTGACTAGACAGGACTAACTAGACACAATTGGTTCTTCTCTGGGCTACAGTCACTCTCTCTGCACGGCCCTTGGAAATGAGAGGCTCAGACACTGGCCCCGCCGGATAGGCGTGCTATTTTTGTACCCTCCTTAGTTAAAGGGGACAGTACGTGATAACGGCTGCGAGTGACTGTTACACCTAGGCTATACCCCTCGAGCCAGGCGATTTGAAGATACAATTCATTGCAGTGCCTTTGGTTAGAGTCACAGCGGCATAAATCTGTGTTCAATGTCATATAAAGAGCTAAAGGAAACTCCCTTCATGCTGCTACAAACCGTTGTACAAGGATTGAGAAGGAGAGAAATGCTGGATCGACCAAACGTCTAATCTGTCGACCCCGAGAAAGTTGCACCGCCTTTTAAGTATCAAGCCAGCCATAGTTACCCCTGAAAAAAAAAATAATAAAAAAAGAAAAAGAAAAAAAAAACCAGAAAAAAAAAGAAGAAGAAACGTCAGCGAATAACGCTCGGTTGACATAGATAACTACGCATGCTGGAGGTACAAACGAAGATTAACAATGGAAAAAGAAAGGGATGTCCAGTTTCATTTGATACCCGAGGAAATCCGGAGAATCGTTTGGATCATACATTCATGATGTCTTTTCGACCGCGGAAGTCGTCGTCGTCACAGTATGTGAGGTTGTTGTCCCCCTTTTCGCCGATGATGAAGACAGTCACGGATGATCTTCGACGTTGTTTTGATCGTAATCGTCGACGGTAGAGACGAATCCACTGCATGAAATCGAAGATTGCAACGGTAACCAGGAGAAGGATAACCACGCCTGTGATTATTATTCCTGGTGTTAGAAATTCAATACGACCACGGCCGTGCGCTATGCTGTTGGACTCGTTGGCTATGAGGGGACATCCAGTGCTGCTTCTAGCATATCCGTTGAGTTCATCTGGGAGAAAGTCGTAGTCGCGGGAGTTAGCGATGACCCCGGATGCGCCAGGGGAATATCCGGATGTCTGTGAGGGAGCTACCGAAGGCGTATAGCTCGGTTTTATATTCCGGGTGATGGCTTTGGTATCAGCATCTTGCGCCTCGTTTCCGGTTTTTATGATCTAGATATCGGTCAGCCTCCCTAAATGATTAGAGGTGGAGAAAACAAATGGGGAATACACACCATCTGGTCGTCGTTCTGGTTCTGGTCACCCGCGAGTTCTTCCTCGAAGGTAGCTGCTATCTCGCCTGCGCTATCTCTAGGAAGTCTAGGCTGGCATAAAATCTTCGTCCACGCTGACGCAACCTCGTCTCCAGCCAACGAGTGGTTCGGTTGGGAATCTCGTCGAGGCTCGATGTCGCGGGATGAGATTAGTGGCAGTGCATTGCAGGATATAGTAAAGAGAAGCAGGCACGAAGCCGCCAGCTTTATAAGCGAATGCATGCTAATTTATTTTTAAAAGCCGGCGCAGGGTGAAAAAAGAAGGCTAAAATCGTCGCCGGTCGGGCACCGGGTCCAAATGTTATATGTAGTAAGGGCAGAAAAGAAGGTATATGGGGTCAAACTAGGTCAGCTAGTGAGGAGTCAGGGGGGTGCGGCCAGGAGAAGCGAGACGAGGAATCCGAGGCGTCAAGCGGCGGACATGTGAGGTATGTGAATGAGAAGTGTTCGGTGCCACAAAGCAGGATGCAGCAAGTTGGTTGCACAGGGAGTCTCGCTGATGCATGAGACCGTCCGCATACCCCTCAAGCGAACAGTTATCGTCTCTCTTCTTTCACAGCCGGATAGACTCTGACGGAGGGGGGGGTGCCGCGGTATTTATCTAGGACCGGCAGCTGGCCTGCACAGCGCATATTTAGTAGTAGTATTGTAGTTAGAAAAGAACCTCGCAGTCTAAGCTGCTAATATAAGTATTTAGTTCGTCAAAAGAAGCCAGCCATGCGACTCCAAGCCCTGACGCCGGCTCCCCTTCTAGGTAACAAGCTAGTCACATATGGAGCTGATGAGTTATACCAGCTGTGTATGTTTCATGACCCTTGTCTCAAGTTGGAGGCCCTTTTTTGCAGATTGTCTGTCTTGCGTGGCCCGTCAAGGCTGAGAGGTCCAGCCAGACTAACTAACAGGCGCTATATCGAAAACTCACTCCGAAGCCACAGCGACTTGCTTGCGTCACGGTTCCGATTCAAGCTTTTCTCCCGATGCCAGAGCAGGATTCTAGCTGGACGGTTGGCTCCGTTGCGTGTCCATGAGGCCATATTCTCTGGTGGTTCAACTCTTGACCTAGTCGAAGCCAAAATCATGGAATTTGCCAGCCAGCCCCTGAGTGAGCTTAACCAGTGGTTACATAGGAGGGTCGCGATTATAAAGAGTGCATCGCTCGTGTCCTGGTTCCTGTTCCTGTCCCCGTAAGCAGTGGCGGGTAGCATCCTTTCGTTCCTGGCCATCATGATAGTGTATATCTGCAAAGTCCAATGGCAGGTCTGTCAGGCTGAGCGCCAGCATGTCACTGTCTGTCGCCATGTGTAATAACACAGTTAATAAGTGGTCAATTTCGTGTAACTAGGCTCCGCATACTTGTTAGTTAACGAGAACCCCGGATGCAGCAGCACATGAATAGCTAGATGGTTGGGGACCGTGGAGCGCCCAGGAATTGAATATCGACTCTCCAGACCCGAATCTGCTCTGGTTATCCACCTCAGCAGCTAGCTAGCTACTCCAGCTGAGGCTCAATCCATCCAAACGCGACTCTGGGGGCGCAAAAGGACAGCATCCGGGTCTCCCAAGGCACCTTGTGAAGCCATGTCACGCTGCATTGTGACCTGAATGGCGAGCTCCCCGGCTCCATGCCTCTGGAAATAAGACATTTCTCGCTTGAGAGAAGGGGATATGTCTTATCAAAGAGCGCAAAACAGCGCGCTAAGAGGAATTTTGGCGACGGAACAAGGGAACCATCCAGCCTCCATGTTAAGGGCTAGGTCAGGATAGCCAGAGAGACCCTGGCACTTCCGTAACTGGTCAATCGTGGTCAATCGTAGTCAATCGCACAAGTAGTCATCATATCGAGCTGGACGAGCAGCTTATTCACGCCATGCATGCGTCTCATCTCTCTTCCGCTTCGTCGAGATGCCCGGCCGCTCGATGGGTTTTTTTATATTGCTTTTTGAAGCTTCTCCCGTCGGTTATATCCACCATTTTGAGGCGTCTTGAATTTATGCGAGAACGTCGGATAAGCAGCCTGCAGCTCCTCGCGAAGCCAGCAAGCCCAAGATAGATAGCTAGATAACTAGATATAGCTGCTGTCTGCCTCGTGGCCTCCTAGCGATGGTGATGGCGATGTAGTTGGACTGAGAGAACCGGCCACAAAAGACGCCAGTGAAAATGTCCCAACCACAGCCGCCGTCGCAGCCTCGCACCAGAAAGGTCACCACCCGCTCGCGCAACGGATGCTGGACCTGTCGAGCCCGGCGCAAGAAGTGCGATGAGAAGCGGCCCTTCTGCACTCCCTGCGAGCGCAAGTCATTGCAGTGCAGTGGCTACGGACCGCGCCTGAAATGGGGGAACGGAGTGGCCTCGCGTGGGTACCTGATGGGCTCTGCCATCCCAGTGCATCCCAAGGAGCTGTCTGGCGCGAAGACCGAGCAGCAGGCGGCCTTTTCGTCGGCAGCGTCGGCCTCGTCTTCGTCTTCGTCTGCTCTGCTGCCTCAGTCAGGCCAGACGGCGGCGGCGGGAAGTGCTGGCGCTGGCGCTGGTGCTAGCAGCGTGAAGCAGAAGAGCCCCAGGGGCAGCCCGACGGCGAATATAGGATCTCTCTCGGAGTGCATGGGAGTGCTGAACTTCTCAGTGCCGCCGACGCCAACGCAGCCGCAGACGAAGGCAAAGGCGAAGACGAAGACGAAGACGCTGTCGAACGTTTCTCTCTCGCCAGAGGCCCGGCCTGGGAAGTCCCCTACTGTTGCTCCCGTTGCCGCTGGTGGTGGTGGTGGTGGTGCTGTTGCTGGTGTCACTTCGTCCCCTGTCGAGACATCCCCGTCTGTGGCTACGACGTCGAACTCGCTGGTGACGGCTATACCATTGAGCCCCTTTGACGAGGAGATGTTTGACGAATGTACGTTTACGACCCTTTCTATCCTGAAAATAAGGCCCATACTGACCGGGGGACTAGTTAAAGAATGGGGATCCAGTATCTTGCTGAGGCTGGACAGTCCCCCCTGGGAGATATTCTGGCATTCTGCTCTGAGTCCAGGTCGTTGGTGGCCAACTGCCTTATGTTCCAACTGACCCTGCACCCGGAGTATGAGGACAAGTTCGAAGAATACTATGCAAAGTGCCTCCGGCTCTTCCGTGAGGACGTCTGTGATACCAAGTGCGCCACGAAGGATGCCACCCTCATTGCGGGTATCCTACTATGCTCTACGGGGGTGCGTTGACATTCCATCTCCCTTTATTTCATGTTGAAATGGATGACATGTCTAACGCTACTCTAGATGAACCGATGCATGAAATGGACCATCCATCTAAACGGTCTTTACTCAATGATTAAATGTCGAAACGCACTCGCTGCTCCCAGCCCCATCAGCTCAGAGATCCTAGACAGCATTGGCTTCTTCGACTTGCCAACGCATGTCCTAGGCCGAGCCACCAAACCATTACATATCTGGCGTGACTATTGTCGTGGTAAAAGTGGGATAGAGCCCAATAGCAACATTCCCTTCGACCTGATAGATCTTCTTTCTATGATCTCTCAGCCAGGGATTGAGATGCAGCTCTGGACATGGCAGTGGACCGAGGGCAACAATGGCAGCACCGGTCGAAACGCCCATCCGCCCAGCTTGCTGACCCGTATGGCATGGGACGCCACTCGTTTGGCCGGAATCATCTCCGCGAGGGAGTATAAGTTGGTCAACTACGATGAGACGGCAGACTTGTCTCCTTCAAATCCCTACCAATCTACCCAGGGTGAAGACGGCTGTCCAACTACCCCGTTCGTGGTCGAAGCTATACTTTCCAACATCACTACCATTCTCACCACGGAGTCACAGCAGCATCACCAATACCAACACCATCAACACCAGCCGCAACAGCCGCAACAGCCGCCGCAGGAGGTCTGCGAGGTTTTAAACCTTTTACTCTATCCTGCGTTTATTGCCGGAAGCCAGCATACCTGCCTCACACCTCAGCATAAACAGCGAATTGAGGCATTCTGGCAAGAGTTGTTTCCTGACATGGGCGCTGACGGGCCTGGGATGCCGCATCTTCAGGTCCCCTTGGACATCCTGCGGGATCTATGGAGCGATGCGAGGGGAAGAACGGCAGATATGATTGCTAAAGAACGAGGGGTGGAAATAGGGCTATTCTAGCTCGGAATATTGTTTACCAGATAGATAGCCACTTATGCTGTAATGTTTCTATATGACAAGATACTGACTGATTTAACCACTCAATTACTTCCACTATGTAACTGTCAATAGACGCGGGTTGAGGCTCAACAATAGTCGAGCTGGAGCGCGTAAATAACACAGAGTGACGTCACTTATCCAAGCGGACTATTAATAGAATGTCTAACCATCATCGTTCCCTAACTAGGACTTGGTGTTATCGTTCAGGATCCTCGCCCGAATTTTAAGGATAGCATAGCACTTTGGCAGAGCGTCAGGAGACAAACGAACGAAGAAATGTATTGAAATATTCCAATAATCATAGCAATTGCTGTATGGGGGAATATAGCTGAGGCTTACGTTAAAATAAAAGATAAAGTGGTAACCGAAGTAAGGATCAACATGAAGAGGAACATGAGCTAAGGGGGATGTGTATAGTAGAAGTAACGTGTATTGACAATGTATAAAATCAAGGCCATATCAATTTCCGGCTTGATGTTTTTGCGTGGGTTTTGTTTGCGTGATTTTGCGTGATTTGCTTAATCCAAAGTGCATGAAACGTCAGATGTCTAAAGCTTTCCCTGGTGGAAGAGAGCAATGGTGGAGCAGAAGTTGCTTCTGTTCTCCTTCTGGGGGACCAGTCCCTTGCCTCCGGAGGTGATCATGTTAGTGCTGGCCTTGGTGCTGACACCGTACAGGTAGGTTTCGGAGCAAAGCACTTCGATCATGTTAAGTTGGCAGGATTCGGTCTTGAGGCAGTCTTGATTGTAGTTCTCGAAGAAGCTGTAGAGACCGCCTCCAAAGAGGAAGACGTCACTGGAGTTGAGGATGCGGAGACCCCAGGCCTTCTTGCAGGCAGCAGTGGTGCAGTCGCCGAAGGTTGGGTCGTTGTACTTGGAGTCAGGGGCGAAGGGGACCAGGGCGTCTGGGTTGGATTGGTAGTATCTGGTTACATATTAGTAAAAGCAGAAAGGTAAAAAAAGGACAAGACAAAAGAGTAAAACTTACGGAGTCTCGGTCTGGATCAAGGCCATGTAAACGTTCTTTGCGTTCTGGATCTGGTAGTTGTAGAGGGTGTTGTGCTCAGAAGCAGTGCCGTACATCCAGACAGCGCCAGAACTTTCGATCAAGGCACCTCGTCCGTTGTAGATGTTGATCTGGCCGTGGTCAGAGAGGTCAAGCTCGTGGTCGGATACCCACAACCATGTGTTCTCGAGGTAGGCAGAGGCCGTCTTGGTAATGTGCAGAAGCATGAAGGCGCCGAAGCACTTTGGATTAGGGGTGGTAGTGGAGTTGGGTGTCTTAGCACAGGTGTTGCTTTGTAGCTCAGTTCCAGCGAAGCCACCGACTCTGAAGTGGACATCCCACATGCCGACGGACCCCTGGGTCTCTTCAGCGACGTTCCACTCAACGAGGATACATCCTGGAGCAGGGCCCTTGGTGGTGACGATGAGCTCGGACAGCTCGACGGTTCCCTTGTCGCCTGGCTGACCGACTTGAAGCATGGGGATGGGGTTCTTCATGTCCGAGAAGGCCTTGCCGGTTGCCATCAACATCGGCCAGATTTCTCCGGTGATCTTGATGTTCTTGGGCACCTTGATGGTGGAGGTGATGAGATAGGCACCATGGTCGAAGTAGACGACCTGGTCGGCAGTGGCCTTGTCGAGGACAGCCTGAATGGCCTTGGTGTCGTCTGTCTTGCCGTCGCCCTTGGCTCCGGCGCTCTTGACGCTGATGAACTGACTGGCTGGGACGTTCTCGTATTGTGGCTTTGCACGCTCAAAGACCTTGCCGTTCTTGTCAAGCAAGATGGCTGGCTTGCTGGGCTGGGGAAGAGCCGACTGAACGCGGGCCTTGGTTACAGCAGCGGTTGGGCAGGCGGTAGGGCCGCCGGTTGGTGGAGCAGAGGGAGATGGAGTTGAGGGAGTAGAGCCAGTGGTGCCGGATGGGACTCCACCGGTGGGTGTTCTGGTTGGAACATTGGAAGGCTCAGTGGTTGGCACTCTGGTTGGTACGCCAGGAGCAGAGGTCTCTGGGATGGGGTAAGGGGGAACGGTGGACGGAGCCGGTGGCTGCGGAGCCGGAGCAGGACACTCATCACGGCGAACAACCTCTGGCTGAGCTTGGACCTGCGGTGGGAGTCTCTTTGCCTTGGAACTAGAGCCAGGGGTCCAGGAGTTGCCCTGAATCCAGTGCTTGACGACGGTGTTTCCAGGGACAATGGAGGAGCCCTGGAGACTGGAGACAGCGTCTGCGGAGCCAGTGAAGTCGACGTTATCAAGGATCAAGGTACCGCCAGACTCGGGGACGCTGTTGGCGTTGAAGGAGGTGACGATACCCTTGGGGGTGTTCTTGATCTTGCTGTCGAGAATCATGACGGAGCCGACGGTCTGGTTGAATCCGCGTTGGACATGTTCAAAGCCACGCCGCAGTCGTTGACGGTGAGAGACTTGAAGGTCCAGGCCCAGTTCCAGTTCATGAAGATGGCAGTGTTGCAGTTGTTGAAGGTCAGGTTGCGGGTGGTGAACTGCTGGATGCCGAAGTATTTTAACAAAATTACCGCCGTTGAAGACAAGGTCGGTCATGAAGCCGCCGGAGCCATTGTCCATGAAGATACCAATCTGCTTGTTGGCGTCACCGCCGCCCTTGACCATCTCGAAGCGGATGTTCTGCAAGCTGGAGGCCTGGGCGACCTGCCAGTGGATGCAGGCTCCCTTGCCCCTGTCGAGGCCGGTCAGATCAATGGCAACGTTGCGGATGCTGCGGAAGAAGTTGTTCTGGTTGGTGTACCAGTTGCTGCCGTCGTTCTCATAGGGGTCGGCGTCGATGACTGCAATGCCTTCGAACGAAGCGGCAGCCTTGATGACGGGCATGTTGAGGGCATCTCCCACGATCTGGGTATAGTAGTACTGGATGATCGGCTTTGACACGACGTAGGTGCCTGGCGGGAAGTAGACAATAGCCGGAGTAGTCGTAGAAGAGTCACAGCCCTTTCCACAGCGGCTTCCAGAGGAGATGGCCATGTTGATAGCCGCCGTATCATCGGAGCTTCCGTCACCTAAGTCGTTGTTAGTATATGATATGTATGGATATCTAAATCTATATGGATAGCGGCATGCGTATGCTGCAATAACGACTCACCCTTTGCGCCAAAGTCCTTTACATTGCGGAAGACCTTGTAGCCAGCACCGCCACCGTTAAACGGGGCGATTCCCTGGCGCTTGATGGAGCTGAGCCAGTAGCTCGATGCCTGCGTGTTGGGAGTCTGGGACTGGGGAGTAGGGGCGGCTCCCGCGGGCGAGAAGAGGCCGACGAGGACGAGCAGAAGCTGGCCCAGCAGCAGGCTGGAGACCAAGCCTCGAGCCATGATGAATCCGGAGGTATCAGACGGTCCTGTCGTAGTAGATCTTTATGTATTTGTTGTAGTTGTGGTTGTAGTTGTTATGGTTGTTTGTTATCGTATAGATGCAGCTTCAGTGGCCAGCACAGAGCTCTTGCACCCCTTTTATGTCCGTTTTTGATAGCAGAAGAAAGAAACAGAAAAAGAGAGAATGAATGGCAGGTCCTGCGTATTCAGTTAATATTCAAGTCAAGTCAATTGACCAAAGAGCGACAGTGATTGGCTTTGTGCGCTATAAAGGAGTGTGTTGCATGTGTTTGCGCGCCAACAATAAGGGGTGTTTCTTTTATTCACAGCATCACCCGCACAACAAAGGAAGAAAGGAAGAGGAAGAGAGCGACAGAAGGGCGAAGAGGAGGGCAGATGAAGAGAGGAGGACACGAGGACGAAGAGGGCGTCACGAATATATGAAGCCATCGCCCTTCATTAGCTCGGCCTGGCGTCCTGGCGCCAAAAAACGAGGTCGCTAACTAGAGAGAGTGTACCTGATACAACCGGGGCCGGGGGCAACAGAGACAGGGTACAAGGGCGCAAAAGAAAAGAAACGAGCGCTGCAGAAACGTACCCGGAGACGCTCGATGGCCACTATGCTTGTTTATGCGCCCAACCAGCGGCGGCCAGGCCAGAGAGCGCAGTTCCACTTGGTCCAGGGCGCGAGTTAAGCTCGGGGCTCAAGGGCCGTCCAGGGGCCCTGCGGCCAGTCGTTGACGGTGGTCTTCACGCAAGGGAAACACGGCCGGGTTTCAGCCAGGGAGGGTGAAGATGAAGATGGGCGTCTATATATGCGTATATGGCGAGGCGGAGATATCGAAGGGGGGAGCGACTTGTGGTCGTGCTTCGTTCTTTACGGTGCTGCGTTTCAGCATGGCCAGCCAGAGGAGACGGAGGAGCCAGAGACGGGAGGGAGGACGGGCGACTAATATAGACAGACATGCTGAAGAGACCCGTCTCGGTGTCCTGCAGTATTATACAGGTCTGCTTGAGATCGTCTCGTCTCGGGTCTGCTTGCTTCGATCTGATGATAGGCCATTCTCTACGGAGTATTGGACAGTGACTGACACCCACCCACCCCCCATGCGTGTCCAACATGGCTCTTATTTTTTTCAGTTAAAGTGGCGGGCCATTGAGCAACCCGTTCGCATGGCCAAGGGGGAAGCACGGCAGACGGCAAAGACGGGGCATGACCTGGTCATATTGTGTGTTCGAACACATCAGAAGGGTAGAGAGATGCTTCGAGGTCCAGTTTACGCGCCTTCATCTTAATCCGCCTGCATGAAGGGGAGGATAACTAGATTCTGGGATGGGTATCAGATACGCGCCCTCTCAGCCAGCCAGAACCCATGCCAGGGCCCGGCCGGCACGGTCGTCTCCTTACTATTATTATTATTAGCTATAGAGGGTAGAAACAGCCCGAACACAGCAACGAGGATGAGATGCGATGTCCCCAGACAAAGGACGAGGAAAGCAGACGATCACCAGCTAGAGAGAGTCATGATTCTGGTGGTGGCCACGGATCACTCGCATTCCGCAACGCCAGCCCGCTCTTAGCTCGCAGACTAGCAGACGACCAGACAGGCAGATGGTGACTAGTGAGTTGCTAGCCCTTGCTGGGGTTGGCTATCCGGGGTCAAGAAATGCCTTCTGACCTGTCGATCGCTGCAAGGCGCTGCTAGTTTGATATCAAGGCGCAGAGCGGCCAAGATAGACTCGGCCAACAGCAGAACGCCTGCTCCTGGCTTTGCTTTCATAGTTCAGACGGACATCTCCATGTCTCCTGGGCTCGTGTGTATGATGATTAGTTATTCATCGCCTTCCTCGCTGTCATCGAGCGTGGTTTACTGCTGGAAGATATCGCAGGTGGGAGTTCGACTACGCAAAATGTGCAACGCAACCCCCAGGCGAGCCTCCAGGGGCCAGGAGAGAAAAGGCAGTTGACCATGCTCCCACCCACACTCCTCATCCACATGGCCGTCCGTGATGTCGTCTGGAGTACTCCGTGAGTCTTATCTCTTGTCCAGTCCGTTGGTCATGGGCAGAGCTTACCCCATCGTCGGTGTGGTTGCACAGCATATGGTTAACTAAGTATGCAAGATGGCCGGATGGGTGTCGATATAATCAATTAATGGCCATGCATCGGTGGATGGGTGGATGGGTGGATGGGCGGATGGCACATTTGGCATCCGTATGGCTATGACTTCTCTCTGCCTCCGTTTACTTATTATTTGATCGAGGTATGCCGTTTGATTGCTGCATACTAACCGAGCCGCTTCGCTTCCATCATCATCATCATCACCATCAGCAGTATCATCATCATCATCGATATCACCTTCACCGTCACCGTCACTCTCGGCCAAGGCCGTTGCCTTTCGTCTATGATACGAGCATCCAGGGATCTCGCCAACTACTTTGACTTCACTTGCCCTAACATGTGCGCTCTGAGATGGAAGTACCGAGCTCTCATGACGATGTCTGTGATGGTGATGGCGTGGAGAACGGGGGTTTGATATTCACCCCCCAGGCAAAAGCTGAATGCCCAACCTATCGACCGGCTTTTACCAGTCGTACATTTGCAAAGGATATCCCGGAATGCCATGACTATTAACAAGAAAAAGACAAAATACCTTATTTGACGGTGAAATTGCGGTGAAATGATACGGCCCGTTAATTTAACATCCTGTCTCCAACTTCGCCTTTTCAACAGCCTGTGCAAGCCGCTGGATCCCTTCCTCTAGCAAATCCTCGTCAACATACGCCAGGCAGATACGCACAAAGCTGTCCAGCGGCTCGTCGGTGTTTGCATAGTCATAGTCTGGCTCTGCGCCCGCACCGGTGACCTTGCTCCCTTCGCCATCGGCAACCTGTAGATTCAGCTCCTCTGCTGCAATCTTGGTCACGCGCTTTGCCTCGATGCCGGGTGGGAGACGGAGCCAGAAGAAGTAACCTCCCGAAACCCCACTGGGAATCATCTCACCATTGCTACCCGACGGTGATGGGGAAAGAGGTTTGGTGAAGGTCATACCAAGAGGGTGTAAATACTTTTCGATTGCGGCGCGCAGGATGTGGTACCGTTTCGAGTACGTTGGGCAGAGCACTTCCGGGATATACGACTGGATGAAGCCGGAGGAGAGGAGTTGGCGGATAAAAGTAGACGTCAACTGGGACGGTGCACCGCCAGAACGCGACGAGCCACTATCATCCTTCCATGGTTAGTCTTGCCGATATTGCTTGCGAGTATAACACTCACTTCCAGGAGTGAAAGAAGAAGAAAAAAAAAGAAGTCTACTCACGTCTGTCCAACGCCATATGCAAACTTCTCCGTCCCTTCAACCCACCCAACTCGACATCCCGGGCCGAGAAGTTTGCTAAAACTCCCGTTACTCATACAATTTCCGAACTCGTCCTTTGGCCCGCCGTCCAGGAAACGATCGATATCAACGAGACGAGGTGCAACGGCAGTCGTAAGCTGGGGTTGCGTGGATGACGGGTCGATGTGCCACTGTAGAAAATCGTAGACGTCGTCTGTTACTACGAGTGCGTCATACTGCCGAGCCAGACGGACAAGCCGCGTACGTCGGCGGACAGACATGATTCTAGACGACGGATTGGCGAAGGTAGGGACCGCATAGATAATATGCTTGTATATCTTCCTCCATGGGTGTGGAAGCTTCAACTTCTACCGTGCTGTCAGCATCCCATTGTCTCAAATGCAGTAAAAGAGGGATATTATATAGTCGACATACCGGTGTTAGATTCCCGTCTGCCTCTGCCCTTTCCTCGCTCTTCTTCAACTCCCTCTCAAGAAAGTCAAGGTCGATACCTTCTGCATCCTCCCTGACAGCTCTCATCTTGTCTCCGAACCCGGCATCCTCGAACATAGGACACGCAAGGTAATACGTCGGCGACACCAGCCATACGTTCCGCGTGTACACCGGGTCAGTATACACCTGTAGCACACAGGCCAGGTTCTGGCTCGCACCGCCAGATATCACGATCCGGCCGGCATCCACAGCCTCCCGGGGCTGGTAGAATGTCGTCAGCCATCTTGCTATCTCGGCACGCAGCGATGGGTCTCCTTCGTCCGGGCCGTAGCCTAAAGCAGGCTCCGAGAGTGCCGCTGAGCACAGTACGCTCTTGGATGCATCCGACAGGGCCGACGTGGGGTGTAGCGACGGATGCGGCCAGCCCCGGGACAGGTTGATGGGCCGCGGAGTAAAGCGAACTGTCATTGTTTCTGTAGCCGTTCAAGTTCTATTGTCCTCGAGCCGCCGTAAGTTGATATTCACACCTGGTCGTTCGTTGGTCGTTGGCACCCGGCGTAGGATCGATGGTTATGGATGCGGCGCGGGGCGAGAGGCGAACCATGTCTCTGTCTCTACAGACGAGGCTTCGACAAGCTTCCGTGACCCAATTCTATGGTCCCTCACTTTCAGGGATGGTAGCCAGTGGTCTTATCTGGTTGATGCGTTATTCTCCGATACAGACAGTGTGCATCCCTAGTAGATGCGTGAGCAGTGGTAACTACAGTATATATTGCCATCACCACTTACCAGCGGCCGTAAACGCCTTCCAGAATCCCCAGGCTGCCCAAATACACTCTTTGGGGCTCCTCTCCGCCGTAGCTTATTGTAGTATCCAGTCTCTCTCCCTCTTCAATCCCTGAATCTCTCTTCGTCCTGCCGTCATTCTTCCGTGGCAGCTAATTAAGTAGTTAAAGTAGTTCGTGATGATGTCTTGAGCATCAACTGCTGGCTGCTTCTTCGTCTACATAACATTGTCAGAGCAAGCCATCACATGACAAGATCGCATTGATGGTTTAGTGGTAAAATCCGTCGTTGCCATCGACGGGCCCCGGGTTCGATTCCCGGTCGATGCACTTCTTTTTTTCGCTTTTATCTTTTTAGGCTCTTCCTTCCGCTGTTAGCTTCCTTCTTCTTTTTTACGCTCCTTATTCCCATCTTTACGACATACGGAGTACTTTCTACAGATATGTTTTTGCACTGTTGACGCCGTCGAAGATCTCCTGCAAGAAGCGTCACGTGAATATGCAGGCTTGACGTTGAAACTCGAGCTGTGCAGGTTCGAGAGAGACAAGCAGAAGCTGTGCGACGGGAGAAACACGCTGAGTGTCAAGATATGTATGTAGCTGGCAGCCATTATAACCAGTCTCTCTTCGTCCTGGCTATGCTGATTTCGCTGTAGAATCACCCAAGGCCTCGTTGGGAGATTTAGGGCTTAGGTCTAGGGCTAGCAGCTAGCTGGGTGCCGAAAGGGAAAGCCTCAGTTTCTTTGGTATCTTACTGATGCTCTATATTCTACGGAGTATATCCTGCTGCGATGGCGATAGCTGCCTAGTAGAGATAAGAGATAGATATAGGATAAAAAGGCTTTGCTGATAGTGACCAATGTTTTTGTTTATCCTATCCAGAGTTTAGTGCTTTCCGATCTTTCGACGGAGATCTCTCCGTTGAAAGAGATCTTGCTTTTGTTATGTAGATTTAATTGGCAATATTTGTCAATCACATAGGTATAATGCTGGTAAGTATGAGCTCATAGTATCCACCATGATCTCCCTGCAATAGCCAACATTTCCCAGGAGCATGACTCTCAGCCCCGTTTCCGGAATTTTCATTACCTACAAAGTATGGCCAATGAGGTTACTCATCCGTCCTCAAGTCCGGTATAAACGCGCCTAGACCGGCCAGGAAACAACTTCTGCAAGCATTGATCGAAGCCATCGAAAGCATTAAACTCTTCCTCTACGCCCGCTACCGCTAACTAGTAGATCTGCCATCTTCAACTTTCACATAGCTTATTTCCAATAGATGATGTCAAGTGGCCATTTATGCCAGTGCAGCGCATCACAAAAGACGGCCGTATGTCGATCAAAAAGCCATGACTTCTCTAATAGGGCCGGCACGTTGTTCCAGATGTCTCCGTTCGATCGTTGGTGTTGTTGTAGTTGGGAACAATAGGCTATTCCCCACTCTGATAGATTGACCATGGATGCTGTCACTGTAAGTATCCTGGTACCGCCTGGGACCTCCTGCCTGGGTGGCGGTTTGGTCGAAATGGGCGGGCGGGTAATATATTAAATTGACGAGAGCGGCCTTGTCTCTGGTAAAGTTATTATATTGCGTATGACAAAATCCCGGCCACGGAGTAAAAAAGGAAAAGAAAAGGCATGGTTGAACCATGGTTGTGTAATGCTTCTCGCCCGAAGACAACAGCGAAATGTCTAAGAAGTGCTTTTTCTTTTTACCCTGACAAAAAGATTGAAGATGTGTGGCATGTCAATACGGGCTAGCGAAATTTTTGATGTCGAGAGATGGGGTAGGGTATTCTGATGCAATCTCTGTCACTTTCTGGTTGCAGGTTTTTGAGAAAAAGTAACCGTGACATTATTTAGAGAGGGCTTTTGTGATGGGCGGTCCTCAGAATCTCCTCTTGTCGAGGTAAGAGGCGACATTACTGTCGAATAACGGATGGTCATTTGCTCACAGAACAGCAGCTTACCTCTGAGCGTATCAACAAACTTCCCCTATGTAGACGCGGGGTCCAGCCCAGTCAAGAGAGCAGAAGTAATGGTGGTACCATCCACAGTCTCCGTACTCCATACAAGATTCCGCTTTTAAACTCGTCCAATGTGGCCTCAAGCATGTGCGAATAGATTGACAAGAGTCTGTGCCTGACCACGACGATCTTTCTCTGCATGCCTCCGTCCATGGCCAGCGATGAGCACTCCAGTGTACTCCGTAAACGCTGTAGCCTTGCATTTATTCAAAATATTGGAAGACTTACGTGGGAGTTACGGTCCTGTTGCATGTACTCCGTAGGGGTCAAAGAGCACTGGTAGCGCCGTTAACAACGCAGCCAGACCTGCAGCTTCTTGTACCGTCTGAGGTGTTTTAACTTCTCTAACTTTCTCTAGCTTTCTCTGGTTCATGTCTCTCTTGAGATGGAAGTATGTGCACAAACATACTTCTTCCAGGATAGCCGGTCCGCCTGTCGATGCTGGTCATCCACTCCGGTTTTGACACAGAAGGCAATGAAAATAAAGGTTGACCAAGGTGTGTCTCTCGCCCCCTGGTCACGAGCAGCCTGGCGGACGTGGACAGCCATGATTAGTTGCAGGGGGGGTAACATCTGAAGAGAAGATGTATATGCCATCACATGTGGGTGGGTAGGACTAGTTTTCCTCTTGAGTGTCAGAACTGCCACGATGCAAGATTCCCATCAGAGGCATTGCCTAGTTTAAATAGCTAATCCAGGCAAGAGAAAAGGCTGGTTGCTGTGAGTGCTGTCGATACTACGCAGCTAGTTCGACTTTAGTCATCTTTATATCGCCGACAGGGCATTAAATATGCGGTGTATAAAACATGGATAAAACGGGTGAAATATCGTCATCGGCATCTAGCGAAGGCAATCCTTCATAAATAGCTCCGTGACTAGCTTGGTGAATTAAAGTAGGCCAAGAGTGGAATTTACAGGGAGCCTGGCTAAGGACGATGGAGCCCCTTGTTTGATCTTGTCTTGTCTTGTCTCTATTGTCTCGTGTGGGCAGGGTTTGGCACGCAGGGATCGGGGGTTCCTGGCTGACGGAGCTCCAACATGGAATACTTTTTTCTCAGGGCCGACGACGGACGTTTTATCGAGGGCGTTTCTTCCGTTTATTTTCTGCCTTTTCGTCAACTAGATAGGCTCCAATTTGTTCCTGTGTAAATGTCAACTGCGAACGGCAAAAGTTTGAGACGCAGTAAAATAAGCAAAAATAGGCATCACCTCCTCGAAGTATACTGATATCAACGCAAAAAAAAAAGCAACGCAAAATTCTATTCTTAGATGCGAGGCATGAAATAAGTAAAATAAATATACGGACAGCACGTTCTCGGACGACTGGACTGGCTGCCATGCTGGCGGTAGGAGCTAGGAGGATGGAAGACCTGTGAGGTGTGTGCAGTTCTGTGTAGCTGTAGAGAGATGGTAGGGAGGTGGGTTGGGAGACATGTCGACTGGCAGACGGGGAGATCATGAGACGAGTAGACGAAGGCGAAAGGCAGACGGGAAACAGGCGAGGATAAGAGCCGAACCCCTGCATGGCTCAGATGGAGATAGATAGACGGCGGCGAGACGAGGACGAGCGAGCTATGAGGGTGAGTGAAGAAGCAGAGGAGGAAGAAAAGGAGGTTTCGCAATTTGATACAGACGGCCGCTGCTTCTGCCACTCCTCGCCGCCTTCGAGCTTCTTCTTCAACGTCAACTTCAATTTCACGACTTCGGCTTTACGACTTCACTTCATCCAGAAACACAAACCAACAGCGAGCAAGGCAGCAAAGCAACGGCAGCAGCAGCAAAGAGATTCCAAACTCCACCGTCACAAGTCGTCAGCCAGTGAGATAGCAGGCTCAACTGCGCCAGACAAGGCTCAGCACCGCTCGTCCTCTCGTTTTGCTACTGGTGCCGCCTGGCTGCTGCGGAAGAGCGAGAAAGCCACGCGAGAGACGAGAACCAAGCAAAACAGCCACTAGCCGGGCCCCAGGGGATACGAGGCTGCTCGTCTTCGTCTCGGACTTCATACATAAACGCTTCCGGGCCTCTTTTGGTTTGGTCGATCGATCAACTCGGACTTTACGGAGCACCACGCATTCTGCTTGGCTCCTAGGAGAAAGTACATACATATACATACATATAAGCGAGCAAGGGCATCGTCCCGTCAGATATACGAAAAAGAGGAAACTACCCAGAGCCGCATTGACAGCTGGTTGCCTGATTACGGAACTATCTCTCCTGTCCTCGTCATTCATCCCAGCTTAGCCCTCTCTTTTGATCCTTCGAACCTCCATTCCCTCAGGCGCAGTGAGAGGAGCCACCAAGAAAAGGAAGCAAAATAAGAAATAAGGCAAAAAACGAGTGAGGAAAGAGAGCAGAAAAAAACTGGGCCTTGTTGCTTTTCTTGGATACGCTACTTGTTTGACTCCTTGGCTGGGGGTGCTTCCGGTGCTTGGAAACGCTCAATATTTAGACTCGCCCATTCTTCTTTCTTTTTCTCTTCTTTTCCCTCTTTTCCTGTCTCTAGAAACCTTCGCTTATCCAGGATATCTCTGCTGGAAGAAACCGACCGATTTACTCTTCCTCTTCATCATCTCAATCGGATATTCACTCGTTTATATCTCTTGCCACCCAGAAGGGGAAAGACGGTGATAAGAACGCTGGCAACAAACAACAAAACCTACCTGCGGGAAAAAAGAAGAAGATACAAAGCAAACGAGTTACAAACGACGGAATATACAGGTTGCTTCTGCAAACACAACCGACGCCTGCCTTTGCTACCATATTAGGCCCATGTTGCTCTCTGCATACCGACGCTGAAAGATCCTTCACGATGCTGGCAGCTCCCTCCAATAACCCGGTCCGCCGGCTCTCGTCGTTCTTCTCCTTGGGCTCGCCGAAACCTGATGATAAACGCTCTCCCACGAAATCACCCCATCTACAATCCTCTCGCTCATCGTCACTAAATACTCCGCCTATCCGGGACCAACAGCTCGCGGAAGAGACCCAAGCATTGAGCCTGAACCCACGAAATGTCTCAGCTCCTGTCCTGGGCGAGAATGCCCACCAAGCATACACTCCTCCACCACGCTTATCCAGTTTGAACCCAGACCTGGCAGGTCCAGGTTCGCCAGATGCACATAGCCGTAGCCAGAGCTTGAGTGATGCTGTACCACGATTTAACAGGCCTGGTTCAAGACCAGGTTCAGGTCTCGGAGTTTCAGGAGTTAACGTCAACCCTACCCCTGCCACTATAACCAAGGCCAAAAAAGCCGCTAAGTCGAAGAAGTCGGGTCACGATGCGCCAAACGGTGGTAAACGGGCTTGGATTGCTGGAACAGAAAACGATATCCCATATGATATCAGCAATCTACTTGCAGGAGAGAGGGTAAGACAGAACTCCCATACTTCTTTTATGGTATTTTTTATGCTGACTTGAGCTAGGTGACCGATCTCTGGGATGATGCCGGAGATACTTATGTCTACCTCTTCCCTCAAAACTCCGGCCGCCCGCCATCATTCAAGGTTGATTCTGCTATTTTCTCTGCATCTGCTTCGCTCACTCTCCTTGCTCGTGGGAATCCTTCACCTCCACAGTCTACACGAGGTGGCCGGAACCGAGCCCAAGATCCTAACTCGTCCTCGCCTCCTCTTTCAGCACAGAATGGATCTAGCTACGATGGAGGCTCCGATGGACAATCACAGGATGGCTTTCTAGATGATGAATCACAAGAATTGCACCTATATTTACCTGTGCCCCTCGCTGGCGACTTACCCTGTGGCCGCGAGCTGCCCGTCCTTTCTGCTGAGGATGTGGATATGCTAGTGCTTTTCCGTAATTTGTTTGCCTTTCTTATTGGCCAGGCGCTGATCGCAACGCCGCGCACGCCATCTATTTTCACCATTTTCATGGAGGTATCTGGGCTCTTGGATCGATTCGGGTTCACCAACCTGGACCAGTCGACTTTTGGGGAGACTGCCACCACCAGCTTTGGCTGCTACTGCGATGAGTTGGATCTTATTGATGTGCGTGCTTCAAGAGAACGAGCATTGGATGCTATCATCCTTGGTGAACGCATGAAGTATCTTCCCCTATACCAGGAGGGCTTCACTCACGGTGTTGCAGTCCTCGATGATCTAAAGAAGTTTGAGGCCAAATATAACTCTGTTTCGCCGGTGACTCGAAAGCGGTTGGAACGAGGATACCTGGATCTGGATAACAGGATAAAAACTTGTGCTGTCAAGATCGATGAGTTCGAGTTCCCCTCTTTGTTCGCTGGTATCGCCAACTCCAATGTTGCAAATGAGGCCAAAGTCATCCGGTTTAAGAACTGGAAAAACGCATATCTAGGCTATCGAAAGAATGTTGTGAACTATTACCGCGCTCGATTTGGCTCATGGCCTCCCAAGGCCAGCAAGAAGAACCAGTTCCAGGAAAGCGGCCTCAACCGCTTGGTCCTCCGAGAACTATATCAGGACTTCTGCGATCTCTATGATATGCTCGCTGACCGCACCGATCTCACCACCCGTTCCGCAGACATGACAACTTCCGTGTTTAAGGCTGAAGACTCGAACTCTACCTCTCAAGCCCTTCGACAGATTATGTCAGAGTATGACCGCAGTACACCACCAGTTCAGCCACCAATCCCCTTCGACATACCCCGTTTGCCATCTATCCATTCCATCCGGCGCAAGCTAGATCCTAAGCAGGAAGCCAAGCAGCGCAGTAAGCGTCTTACTACTGGTGAAGTTAACGAGATTCTAGTCTCTAGCTATAATCATGCAAGCATGAAGCCGACACCTTTCCTAGAGAACTTCATGAACTATGAGCGCCGTGTTGGCCATGGAAAATGTGCCGATGAGCTTGCAGACATGCGCTGTGCACAATGGCTATTTATGTATGCCGTTATACAATCATTGCCAATGCTTGTCGTGGATGCCCCAGATCTCAGGTGTACTCACGGTGTGGAATACTTCCTTTGCATACCGCCGTGGGGTGGGTCTCCTTGGTGTGCTTCGGATCCAAAGAATGGCAAGAAGTGGTTTGGTGTTGCTGGTGGGTCTGGAGTGGTAAATCTACCGTCTGATGTGGTAGCAAACGGTGTCGATGCTGTCTATAGGCGCAGTCACTGTTGGCAAGTTGCCTTAAAGTGGGCAGACGAGGGGCAGTTGAACTCGTCTGTTATGCTGGATCCAGCCTCGCAACAGCCGGAGGAGCCGCAACAATCACCACCACCTCCTCCTTCGATGCCGCAGAGCCAGCCACAATCACCGCAGCTGCAATATCAAGCATATG